ATGAGAAGTGAAAGTCACAGGGATGGAAGTGAGCCTGGTGGGGTGGCCGTTAGTTCACTGAGAAGTCAGAGAAAAGGGGGCCTTGGAGACAGGTTCACTGTGTTAGCTTGGGCTGAGCTGCTGCTGCCTGCTGCTCCCCTCAATGCAAGTCTCAGCAGGACCCTCAGAGCTTAGGAGAAAGAGAGCAGAAATACACACCTGAGGAAAGGGGGGAGAAAGGTGTGGGTGTGCTCAAGATAATATCACTTTGACATCTTTTCACAGGAAGAGGAAACAGAAGTGAAGTGACTTGTGTGGCTCTGGTTTTTCCAGTAGAGCCCCAGCTTATGTCTGTCGTCTCTGTATAACGAGTAATTGCATTCCCTTCCTCAAAACTGTCTTGGCTTGGTCAATAAGGCATGTGGTTGTCCTGGCTACAATCACCTTAAGAAGGAAAAGAGAATTGGTGATGAGGTTTGGTGATAAGTAAAGGCCCGCAGTGACTGACAGGTGCCCAGCGCCCAGCACTGGGCCGATGCGCTGGGCCTACTTCTGACTTAGTGTCGGACACTCCACCACTTTCCTTCCTCTCTCTGCACCCCCTGTTTATCTCATACTTGCCAACTTTTTCTCCTGCTCCCCATCCAACCCTCTTTTTCTTCTACTTATCCCTTGGAAGGTACATTCTTACCTCCTGATTGAATTGGCCAGTCCCAAACTGGCCGATTTCCTGGAATAGACCAGCCAACACCCAGACCTCCCAGGGTAGCTAGCCCAGATGGGCATGGGAGATGGGACCCCTAGGGCTTACATTTCTCTAAGCAGAAGGCCTTGCAGGCAGATTCAGATTGAAAGTTGTTATTGTTCCCTTGGCAAGTACCATACATGTATTTGGAGCCTGAGTTTTCTTATACCACCAGCATGGAAGAAGGGCTAGGCAGGGGCCAACTACCTGTGGCAAACTACATATGTCTGCAAAGAGATTGCAGAGAAGAGCAGTCTGGGTGCCTGCCTACCTAGAGAACATTTCAAGTACATGCAAAGGCATGGAGGAGTGATGCCCTTACACTTTTCCATGCTATTGCACATGCCTGAAATGTCCATCCCTCTTTTGCTCACTAGGTACATTACTTCTCATTCTTCAAAACACTTCTCAGGCCTCAAACTCTTCTGCATTGCATTTCCTGGTCACACGCTTCACTCCTTGCTTTTCTTTATTGCTTCTCAATCCTGCACACACATTTACCGCTTCTATGCAATTATTTGTATGTATGTTCTGACTCCTCCATGAGAATCTGAGATTTGTGCCTTTTGCCGTCTCGGTACTCCAGTTCCTAGCAGATAACTTGGCACTGAGTGGATGCTTAGGATTGTTCACAGTAAAAAAATCAAGTGTATTCTGAACTTCAAGAAGCTTTCATTGAACAACTGTTTTGTGCATAGTGCCATGAGGTACAAATAGAGTTTTTTAGGACCCCATAGTTTGAGAGCTTTCAGGTCTTAAGTTGTGGGTTCCTTTACTAGAAAAACCTTTCCTGAGCTCCCTGGATGCAATGAGCAAGTGGAACCCATCCTACATGTCCGGGGCACCAGTAAATATTTGTGAAATAAATGAGTGGACGAATACCCCTTGATGATCTTCTTTGGAGCTCAGCCATATATGGGCAGAAAGGAAAGAGTAAAGGAAGTCAAAGGTGTTTAGGGAAAGCATCTTGGATTTATATAGACAGAGAGACCTAGGGGAAAAGAGGCCAGGAAATAAAAATCATATACCTATCTCCTATAACTATGCTATCACCTGACAACATGTTAACATTTGATGGGACTTCACTGGCTATTGGGCATCTCAGAAGACCACAGAAGAGTAGCCAAGAGATGATGTGGTCTAATGCCCACATTTTTTTTACAGATGGGGAAACTAAGGCCCATAAAGGAAAAACTCTGTTACTCACATCACATACTTAAATAGGAGCAGAGATTAAATAAAACCCAATTGTTGATAGATTTGGGGTTTTTTGCCATTTTATTATTCATAGCTTTGATCTTTTCTTTAACATTTTATATAATAATGGTTTAGTGATAATGAACTCCTTTAGTTTTTCTATTCTGGGAAACTCTTTATGTGCCCTTCGGTTCCAAATTGTATCTTGACTGGGTAAATCAACGTTGGCTGTAGGTCCCTGCTTCTCATGACTTCGAATATTGCTTGCCAATCCCTTCTAGCCTGCAAAGTTTCTTTTCAGAAATCACCTGACAGTCTCATGGGAACTCCCCTGTAGGTAACCTTTTTTCCTGCTGCTTTTAAGCTTGTCTCTTTATCTTTAACCTTTGGCCTTTTAATTATGTGCCTTGGAGTGAACCTCTTTGCATCTATCTTGTTTGGCACTCTCTGTGCTTCCTGGACTTGCATGTCTATTTCCTTCACCACAATCAGGGATGTTTTTTATCATTATTGTTTCAAATAGTTTTCCAATTTCTTGCTCTTCTCTTCTCCTTCTGACACACCCATAATGCGAATGTTGGACCTCTTAAAGTTGTCACAGAGGCTGCTGATACTATCCTCTTTTTTTTTAATTCCTTTTTTCTTCCTGTTGTTCTGATTGATTTTTGCTTCCTTATGTTCCAAATCATTGATTTGATTCTCAGCTTCATCCACTCTACTGTTATTTCCTTGTCAATTGTTCTTTATTGCAATTAACATATCCTTTATTTCTGACTGGATCTTTTTTATGCTGCTGAGGTCCTCAATAAGTTCCTTGAGCATCCTTATAAGCAGTGTTTTGAACTCTGCATTTAATAGATTGCCTATCTCCATTTTGTTTAGCTCTTTTTCTGGAAATTTTGATCCGTTCTTTCATTTGGGCCATATTTCTTTGTCTCCTCATTTTGGCATCCTCCCTGTGTTCATTTCTATGTATTAGGTAGAGCTGCTTTGACTTCATGCCTTGGTAGTGTGGCTTAATGTAATGGTTGTCCTGTAGGGTCCAGTGGCACAGCCTCCCCTTTCACCCAAGCTGGGTACCCAAAGCTGCGCCCTTTGTGTGAGCTAAGTACACCCTCCTCTTGTAATTGAGCCTTGATTGCTGTTGGCAGATCAATGGGAGGGATTTACCCAGGCCAGTCAGCTACAAGGATTGGCTATCACCACTTAGCACAAACCTCCATCCCCTGTGCGGGGGCAGGGAGGTGGTGCTCCAATGTGGTCTGTAGCTGACCACTGGGTGCTCTGGCCTTGGAGTTTCCCAGGTGGTACTGGCCAAGTTCAGTCCCTACCTGTGTTTGGCCCAGTGCTACCCTGCCTGAGTTATAAAGAAATCTGAGATGGCTACTGCTCATGCTGGGCTTTGGAGATTCCCAAGCAAAGATAAGCTGTGAAACTAGGCTGGCTGCTGCTAATGCCAGGCCCAGGGCTCACTGAGGCCAGCTGTTTCTTGTTTGATAGGATTTAGGAAGTTGTGAGGCTTGAGCCAAAGCCAGCCATTCACATGGAAAAGCAGCTTGGGTGGGCCCATAAATTGAGTGGGGTGGAGTCTCTGAGGATCTCCAAAGCTGGTTAAACAGTGTTAGCCAGGTTGATGGAGTCTCAGACATGGCACCAGCTCGCCAGCTCTGTGAAGGGGGAGGATTTAGAAAAGGAACGACGGCCTCTGCCCACCTTGATGCCTGTGTACCACTGGTGCCTTTCAGGCTGCTACCCTGGTGCTGGAGCTCAGAGGGAGTGAATCTAAGTAGGTGAGTCCATGTGTGGGTTCTTTAAGAGGAACTTCTTGGGGCTCCAGAAGTTTCTTCTACCAGTTCAATCCCCATGGGTTTTTTGCAGCTAGAAGTTGTGGGGACTTATCTTCCTGGCACTGGAACCCTGAGCTGAGAGGCCTGGTGTGGGGCTGAGACTCCCCATTCCTACGATATCCCTACTGAATTTTTATCCACCACGTATGGGTGAGGGCCTAGCCTGTTCCGCATCTGTGCCCCTCCTACCAGTCTGGATGGATGTGGCTTCTTTAATTCCACAGTTGTCAGACTTCCATTCAACTTGATTTCTGATGGTTCTGAATGATGGTTGTTCTACATTTTAGTTGTAATTTTGATGTGATTGTGTGAAAAGACAAGCCGCGTCTGCCTATGCCACCATCTTGATCAGAAGTCCCAAAACATTGTAATCACAGAAGAAAACCCCATACCCATTAACAGTTGCTCTGTCATCCCTCAGCCTACTCCAGCTCTGGGAAACCACTGAACTGTTTTCTACCTCTATGCATTTACCTATTCTGGATGTTTTATATAAATGGAATTATAGAATGTAGGGCCTTTTGTGTCTGGCTTCCATTACTTAGCGTAATGTTTTTGAGGTTCATCTACAGAGTAGTGTCTGTTTGTGCTTCATTCCTTTTTGTGGCTGAATAACAGTCAGTGCGCATTGATAGATTTCCACCTCGAGCTTCAGAGTCTACTTCTCTGCTATTGGGTTTTTATGTCTCCTGGGAGCTTGCTTAGATTGTGTGCAGAACAGCCGAGAACAATAAGGGATGTCATGCCCCCAGATACCCACTAGGGTATGGGAATCAGTGGGTACACACCTCAGTTTCCCCATAACTGAAGATAGATTTTTTTAAGTATGAAGGCATGTTTTACATGGTCCCTTGGAAGGTCTCCAATAGGATTAAGCTATAGTTTCCCACAGTAGTAACTTGCTCATAATCAATTTCTCGCTTTCCTGTATCACTTACCCCACTCCCTACATTTATGTCCCAAATAAAATACTTTCACCCATGCCCTTGTCCTAGGATCAATTTCAGGGGCTCCAAACTAAGGCAATACCCATGGGCCCTCGTCTTAAAAGGGTCTAAATTTTTTTTGAAGAAACAGAGAAGGATAACAATATCTCTGGGGTTCTCAACTTTCAAGGTTCTGATTTTCTTTACACCCCTAAATGGTATTTCCAGGAGCCCCAGTGAGCTTTTACTCTCCACAAACCATAATGTGCCAACAGATGTGAATCATTTAGCCTCAGAGGCACAGGATCAAACAGAGCACTTTATTGGGAAAAATTGGGAGCTGCACAGGTATAAACAGGGGGTGCTAGAAGTTGGGCTATAGAAATGGGATCAAAGCAGTATATTATGACTGTGGCTGGTGTGGCTCAATTGGTTGGGTGTCATCCCACGACCAGTTCCCAGGTTTGATTCCCAGTCAGGGCACACGCCTGGGTTGTGTGTGTAGTCCCCATAGGGGTGCAGGAGGCAACCTATTGATGTTTCTTTCTCACTTCGATGTTTCTCTTCTCTTTCTCCCTCCCTTCCCCTCTCTCTGGAATCAAAGGAAGGACGAGAGGGAGGGAGGGAGGGAGGGGAGGAGGGATTTTTAAGAAAAACAGGATATCATGTATAAAGAGACTGAGATGGAGGGAGAGAGAGACAGGTCCTGGGGTTCCGTTTTGGGAAGGGCCAAGGCCTTTGAACGCTGGGAGTGGAATAGTGGAACCCATCCTGGAGCATCAACCAGGCACACAGACAGAGTCTTGAATCACAAGCCAAAGCCTGAAGGTCGTTCCGGTGTATCCTCATGCTCAGGATGAGGAGGCTGTTGAGAATGTAGGACAGGACCAGCTGAAAATTTGAGGCTCGCCCGTCTTCAGAACTGGTCTTGAAGTTAGGTTTGTACATCTTACATAGGACATCAAAAGGGACTGGGTTTACTTTGGGAAGCTAGGAATCTCCTTAAAGAAAAAATGGATGTGGATGGGAGTGGATGATGGGAGTGAACTGCTAGCAAAGAGTTATAATGGCCTGGGTGGTCAGTCAACATGTCCAATGGGAGGCTGGATGTCCTCTGAGCTTTCTGAAGTTGGGTCCCTGAGGTTTCACATCTGCATCCTCCCTCCACCCCGCATACTTGCCAGCTTTATTTCATGACCATGTCCCTTCCCAACCTCAGTTTGCAGAAAGCCACTGTCCAACCCTCCGTGAGATGTATTCTCACCTCCTGATTGGAGCTGGTTCTGTCTGCACCTGGTCCACCAAAAATGTATCCTTCCCAGATTAGACTAGCCAACACCCAGACCTCCCAGGTGGCCCTGGCGAGGATGAAAGATTGGGGCCCTTGGGACTCACGTTTCTTGGAGCACATGTTCAGGCACAGGTCTTTGGATTGGAAGTTGTTATTGTTTCCCTGGCAGCCACCATAGTCAAAGCTGTAACAGGTATCATTTTTCTTATCATACCACCAGCGATGAAACAAAGCGAAGCAGGGCCCAGGATCTTTCGGCAAACTGCATATGTCTGCAGGGAGACCCCAGAGTTGAGAACTTAAAGGATGCCCACCCCGAAAAAATACAACTGTTACTGTCCCTCCAGCAACCCCCATAGATGACACTGAGTGGGTTCCTTTCACCTTGTCATACCTCGGGCGCCCAGCTCCCTCTGCAGGGAGACCCCCAAAGTGGAGCTCTTTGGGTGCCTACATCCCTGGAGAACAACGGTATCTCCCTTCCCATCTGGTCACTGGCCTCATTGTCTCTCTAGAGAGTGAGCAGACTCTGGCTTCAGGGTTCTTTTCCTAATTCAGTGTCTGCCCATCCACCTCCCATATTACCTGCCTTGTCCTTGACTTCCTTCTCTGTAAAGTGGAAATGCAAAACCCCACCCTGCTTGTTGCACAGGGCTGTCCTGAGGGGCAAGCGAGACCACCCTCCTGGTCCTCTGAGCTGTGAGCTCCTTGATTGTCCCTGAATGAGCAGCTTCTAGCACAGTGCCTGGCAGAGAGTAGCTTAGCTGCTCAATAAATACACCCTGAATGGTTAAAAGATATGGAAGTGCCTTGAAAACTACAAGCTGTAAGCCATTTATTCTGCCTTCCAAACCACGAGAAGAGAACATGGGATTGTGGGTAAAGTGCCGGTTGCTGCAGGGAAGGAGCAGGTGATTTTTTCAGAAGGTCAGGAAGTTGGCTTCAGTCCTGCTGTGGGTTGTATTGCATCTCTCCCCACCCCCTTGCCCTTCCTATGGTAAAGTCCTAACCCTCGAACCTCAGAGTGTGACCCTATTTGGAAAGAGAGTTGTGGCAGATGTAATTAGTTGATGAGATGAGTCCTACTGGAGCAGGGTACATCTCTAACCCTACACGGTTGATGGCCTCATAAAAAGGAGACATTTGGGCACAGACACACATAGGGAGAGAACGCCATGTGAAGATAAAGACAGAGGTCTACAGGATTTCCAGCCAACCACCAGAAATCAGGGAAGAGTCAGGGAACAGATTCTCCTGCACAATCTGAGAAAGAACCAACCCTGCCAACACTTGACCTTGGACTTCTAGCCTGCAGAACTGTAAGACAATACCTTTCTGTTGTTAAAGCAGTGAGTTTCCATTGCTCTTAAGATCAAAATGAGACTCTAGCCCACCAGACCCTACCTGCCTTCCATGTTTCTCTCCTTGTACCACGCTGATACGCCCTCAACTCCACTATTAAATACATATTGTTCCCTGTGCCCAGAAAGCCCTTCAACCCACTTTTGGCCTAAATATACTACCTGCCCTCCTGAATTCAACTCCAGTTTTTCTTTCTCAGGGAAGCTTTCCTTAACCCCTGGCCACCTTGGTCAAATCCCACTGACTTTCAGAGACTCAACATTTGTTAAATGAATAAGTAGAGAATCTTCAATAGTCTTTCGGGAACCTGGGAGATGGGCACAGAGTGAAGACTGTAGCAGCAAAGGAAAAGTGCTCCAGTCTGTAGGGGTCAGGGGAGATTTCCGGGTGCCAGGTCAGACTCGTCGGATTAGGCAGAGAGGCAGGCACTCCAGAGCAGAGAGCGTCATTGTCACTTGCAGAGACAATCTCGGAATGGTGGGGGACCCAAAGTAGTAAGAGTAGAAAGTAGCCAAGAGAAAATCTTGTATAAGGGTGTTCAACCACACCCTTATATCCTTTTGGTGGGGGAAGAAACCAAAGCCTGGACAAAATGAAGGTGTGATCTAATGTCAGACATCCTGTTAGGGGCAGGGATGAGTTTTGTTACCAGGTCTCCCAAGCCCAACAGTGTTGCACAGAGACCCAGCAACAAACCAGCAAACCCTTAGCAAACCAGCAACAAAGCCAGTCCAAGTGGACAGAAAGTGAGGGCTCAGGGAGGGCTGGTTATTCGGATGCTCTGAGTCGTACCTTGTTTCGGGTCTAAACATTTTCTTCCGCAGCTGAAGACGCAGCACTTCATGTTGTCTGGACAATTTTTGTCCTTCTTACACATATCCCTTTCTTTGAATTCACATTTCTCCCGGGTTCTTGGGCATCTCTCTGCAAAAGGAACAGTCTTACCACCATGAGTCTTGGAGGGCACAGTGCCCACTCTTCTCCATACCCAAGGCAGTTCTGGGGATTCAGGGAAATTTGCTTTTACTTTTCTCATCTCCAGGAGCCCTTGTCCTTAGGGTGCCCTTTCGTATCTCCCACCACTGCCTACGCCGCTCTCCCTCCTAACCCTCCCTCACTCTCTACCTTTGTATCCCATCCTTAGCGCTATCCTCTGGCCCCATCCCTTCAAAGGCAGGATTTCTCAGCCTTGACACTAGGGACATTCTGGCTGTGTAATTACTTGATGGGGAAGAGAGAGCTGTCCTGTGCACCACAGAATGTTTAGCAACATCCCTGGCCTCTACCCACCAGATGCCAGTAGCTCTTCCCAGTCATAACTCAAAATATCTCCAGACTTGGCAAATGTCCCCTGGAAGGCAAAATCACCTTATTGAAAGCCACTAGTCTAAATGCATCTGGTCATTTTGGCCTGGTTGGGGACTCAGTGTTTGGGAGTTCCTTCTAAGGGGTGCTATTTACAGTGATTAATATCACTCATCAGATGGTTAGGTTTTTAAATTCTTAACTCTTGGTTTTACCACTTACTCTTTCTGAGCCTTGGTTTCTTCACTGATAAAATCGTTGTAGCCTTACAGAGTTGTGAGGAAGCAACAAGACAGTGTGTAAAGCTATACTCATAGTAACTGATGCACAGTAATAGTAACTAACATTTGTTACACATTTACCAAAGGCCAAGCAGTCTTCTAAGCAATTTAAATTTGTTCTGGCATTGAATCCCCATGATAGCTCTATGAGGGGAATTCTGTTAATATCCCCATTTTGCAGGTAAGCAAACCAATGCACGTGGAATTTAAGTAACTTGTCCAAAGTTACATGGCTACTGAGTAGTGGAACCAAAATTTGGGCCATCAAGTGTGACTCCAGATCCCTCTCTTTAAATCCTTACTTTCTGAATATTTCATAAATGGAAGCAATTATCATTAATACTATATAGTCTTGGAGCATTACTATCTGAAGTTCAAAGGAATTTTTGAGTACTGTCTTTTACGCCAAAGTCAAGGAGCCCCTGGGGTGCAGGGAGACTTTATTGGACTGTATTTGAAAGAATCTGGAGTTCATAGGGATGATATCCTGAGGAAGGGGGCTATGTTTGTTGTGGGGTGAGGAGAAGGTCCCTTAGGCTTCCTGGACTCAGACCCCCCCCAACAAATGCTTTATCCCATGCTCTCCCAGCCCTTCGCCTCCCCCAACCCCAAGAAAGATCCTCTACTTCAAAGGGGCTGAAAGTTACGGTTGCCTTAGATCTGGATTCTTGCATTCACGGAAGGGATCTTCCACAGAGAGGGAAATTGGAAGAAACACTTCAAATGTCTCTGCTTTCCCAACCCAGGACCAAGGCCAAGACAGTGAAAAGCAACTCAAGTCTGAGGAATAATTGTTCCTTGTTCCTTCCTTCCAGCAACACTACCCTCTCTCCCAGGCAGGGCAAGGCCCCAGTACTTACTGGGCAAGAACAAGTCTCTCAGAGTAAATACTTGGACATTCACTACAAGGATGAGTAGCACCAGGATCCTCAAAAGTCCAGAAGACACCATTCTGAGGAAGAGCTGGCCTGTCCGTCCGGTGGTTTCAGAATGTGAAAATGTCTGGCTGCCTTTGTTCAGCCTATTTTTTCAGTCGTCAGTATTTTAGATATGGAGTCAAGCCAGCCTCCCCCTTTCTTCCTGGGAACACCAAGTTCCTGAGACTATCAATGTGACTAGCTGGCACAGATAGCCCACAGCCCTGGGGAAAGGTCTCTTATTGGATAGCTCCTGATCCTTAGCCCCTTGGGCTGGGCTGGGCCACTTGGTCAACCAGAGGGGGAAGTGGGCAAAGCTTGTCTCACTTTCCAGGCTACCTTAGGAGTGAATGGGGTCTTCTTGATAACCTTGAGACTTGTGGAATGTCCTCATTCTCTATTCATTTTCCATTTGATCTGCATACTGGCACACCCCTTTTGTCTCTGACAATGTGTCATTTGTTTGTTTTTGATCTCTTGGTATCTCTTTGTTTCTCTGCTTCTCTGTGTCTAGGCCTGGCTTTTTCTTTCTCGGTGCATCTCCTGTAATCTCTGTGTCTTTTTCTCCCTTTCCCACATTTTCTTCCTGTCCCTCTCTCTTTTCTCTTTAAGTCACTGATACTCTTTGACTAAGGCCAAAGAGTAAAGATGTTGCCCCAGTTGCCCCAGAGCAGGGTGTGGGGAAGGAAGCAGGCTGGTAGCAAAGTTACTAGATAGAGTTTGTCAATGTTGTGTTGCTTTGAGAGCAGGAAAGAATGTCAGAGCCACTAGAAAGCTTCTGTCCTCTGGTGCAAGCTCCTGGTTGTCTGAGGAGGGACACGAAGCAAAAAGACTGGTCTGAGAGACTACAATTCGATAAAGTCAATAACAGCAGAGTTGCTGGATTCTAATTAGAACATTGGAAAGGCCATTCAATAGAGTGCTGGACCACTTGGCACCTTTCCTACAGCCACGGAATCCAAAATGTGAGCAGGTCAACCTCTCTTCATAGAGGGAAAGAACTCTTCTAAGAGTAAATGTCATCTCTAAGGGTCCCATTCTCTTTCCAAATTAGCTATTGTACTTCTGGGCCAAGCTTTGTTCTCTAACTTTCTTACCTGATGGACAGAAGCCATCCAAAGCCAACCTTATTATCAGTGAGTGACTATATGGTCACAAAATTTAGGATCACAGACAGAGCCCCTCAGCCTATGGATAGTGATGTCCTTGGTTAGGAATGTCTGCGGTCAGGCGGCTATATATTCACCCAGGCAGTGGACCCCACAGGCATGCCCCTACCACCACCAGGACCAAGGCGGTGCTTGGGCCAGCCCTTGTGGCTCTTACTACGATGGCAGGACTCACCTCTACAAAACCGCCAGGGAACTTTGAAAATTTATTACTCACAGGTCCCAAAGGATACACAGTAGGCTAGAGGGCTACAAAGCAAGGTCAAGGGCAGAGAGAGGGACAAGAAGTGTGGATGTGGGGCTCTGGCTTTATTAAAGTCCAAGTGTGGGGTATGTAGGGTTTCACAGTTCACTCTTTATTAGAGAATTGGAAGCATAAAAGTGCGAATTAGGGCATGGGAAGGGAGAAGCAGGGTCACTCCAGGGGTCAGCTTTCTAGGGTACTCAGGACTTCCTAAAAAAGGGGACTTCATGGATGGGGGCATTCTAGTCCTTTATCTAGTTCTTTTGCTAATGGCTATGTCTTCAGCTGGAAATATGTTTATTAGAGATGGATGTCTTTGAAATAAACACCTTTGCAATCAAAAGCTTAACCTCGGGCACTTACATTACAATAAAAAAGCTTAATGCCAGATGCTTACACTGCACAACCCCATCTCATCAACTTCACTATATCACTAGATCCCCCACAGACACTAAGGAACAGATTTTCTAATGAACGACCAAGATGTCCTCAGCACCACTGTCCCTCTCATGTCTACTACCTGCCTTCTCCCAAACTCAGCCCGGGAGAAAATGGAAAGCTGAGAGACCCAGGTGCAAGGATTCCAAGTGCTCCCCAGGCTCCATCTCCTCCTCGTTCAGGTAGGAATCATGAAGGCCCAGCAAAGCAAAACATGTCAACTTAATGTCACCTGGCAAGTGAGTGTCAGAGATAAAGTTAAGAGGGAGCTGAGTGTTTAAGTTCTTGCCACTGATCAATAGGGGATTTTCTGATATTAGTGTAAACAGGGTATTTTACTATGGAATTGAAGGTAGAGAGGAACAGTGGGTCCAAAGGAAATAAAAGTCATGCCTTTAGTGAGAGCAGGGGCTGAAGACCCACAGAGTCTATAAATATCCGAATGGTTTCCCGGGCTCCCAAGTGAAGTACAATTTTCTTGAAAATAAATGAGAACTCAGAATTTTTTTAGCAGGAACAAAAACCACCTTTATTTCTATCAAATTAAAAAGTATGAATAATCCATTAAGTAAGATAATCCAAATAATCGATAACACAATGAATAGTTAGAAGAGCATTTACAGATTAGGTTTAGGTACTTTGAATGAAGCACATACACACAAATCACCCAAATCAAGAGGGCTGATGGCTTTCACACCGAAAAGACCCTGACTCATCCTAAACCATGACTCATTAATGACCATGACTCTGACCTGAATTCTAGAAAAGTGGAGCTGGCATTTCACAGGACAGTAAACTGAAGAGACAACTTGTCATTAGGTTAGAGAGCTGATCTGAGCTCCAAAGGGATCACAGTGAAATGCCACTGGAACCCAACAATGTCCCCCAGAGGTCTGTTTATCTAAAATAATAACAGCATATAAAAATCAGTAGTACAAATTCTTATACAACTAGAAAAACCCTCTAATCCCTAGCACCTTGGGGCTTACATAAACACTGAGTTTTCATTTTTCTTCCATTCACGTTTCTCTAAGTTCAATACAAATCACTTTGTTTTTATTTAGTACATTTCTTTTTAAATTTTTATTGATTATGCCATTACAGTTGTTTTATTTCCCCCCTTCATTGCCCCCCACCATCCCCCCTTTAGTTTATGACCACCTGTCTCAAGTTCTTTAGATTCTATATTTCCCATACTATTCTTGCCCTTCCCCCTATCTATTTTCTACCTACCTTCTATGCTACTTATTTTCTGTACCTTCTCCCCCCTTCTCCTCCTCCCACTCCCCTGTTGCTAACCCTCCATGTGATCTTCATTTCTATGGTTCCCCACCTGATCTAGCTGTCCTCTTAGTTTGCTTTTGTTTTAGGTGTGGTTCTTAATAACTGTGAGTTTGCTGTCCTTTCACCGTTCATCTTTTTGATCTTCTTTTTCTTAGGTAAGTCCCTTTAACATTTCATATAATAAGGGCTTGGTGATGATGAACTCCTTGAATTTGACCTTATCTGACAAGCACTTTGCCCTTCCCTTCTAAATGAAAGCTTTGCTGGATAGATCAATCTTGGATGTAGGTCTTTGGATTTCATAAGTTGGAATACCTCTTTCCAGCCCCTTCTTGCCTGTGTCTTTTGAGAAATCCGCTGACAGTCTGATGGGAAGTCCTTTGTAGGTGACTGTCCCCTTATCTCTTGCTGCTTCTAGGATTCTCTCCTTCATTTTAATCTTGGCTAATGTAATGATGATGTGCCTTGGTGTGTTCCTCCTTGGGTCCAACTTCTTCGGGACTCTCTGGGCTTCCTGGATTTCCTGGAAATCTATTTCCTTTGCCAGAATGAGGAAGTTCTCCTTTATTATTTGTTCAAATAAGTTTTCCACTGGTGGCTGTTCCTCTTCCCCTTCTGGTACCCCTATAATTCGGATGTTGGAACGTTTAAAGATGTCCTGAAGGTTCCTAAGCCTCTCCTCATTTTTTTGAATTCTTGTTTCCTCATCCTTTCCTGGTTGGTCATTTTTGCCCTCTTTCCGGTCCACTCCTTTGATTTGAGTCCCAGTTTCCTTTCCATTACTATTGGTTTCCTGTGCATTTCCCTTCATTTCAATTAGTTTAGCCTTCATATGTTCCTCTAATTTGTGACTAAAATCAACCAGTTCTGTAAGCATCCTGATCACCAATGTTTTGAACTGTGCATCTGAAAGTTTTGCTATTTCTTCATCGCTTAGATTTATGGGCTCTGGGGCTCTGAGTTGTTCTTGAGCCATGTTTTGATCTGTTTGTGCCTGTTACATATGAGGAGTGGAGCCTTAGGTGTTCACCAGAGTGGGGCGACCCAGGTCTCTGGTTCGTGATGCTGTATGTGGGGGCGGGGTCAGAGGGACAATAGCAGTCCCCTCTGCTGCTTTCTGCCACTGGGGCCTGCAAGGTCTGTCTCACTGCTACCTCCTTCACCGGTTTATCTGCACACGAATGTGTGACTGCAGCCAGCCCTCAGTGGGTCCACCGCCTTGTGCCCTCAGTGGGTCCACTCGCTAATCCACCCGCTACTCCAGCCTTGGGAATCCACCCAAGGCTGCTGGCGCACCTGGGTCTCACACCCAGGTCGGTCTGGTGGACCTGTCCTGCCCGACCCCGCTCTGCTGCTGGCTCTGCCCCTCTTAACGGTTTGGCTGAAGGGTTTGTTGTTGTCAGACTTCCGTACAGTTCAATTTTCTGTGGTTTGGCTGCATTTTTGTTGCTAGAACTTTGTTGTTTTTAAACTTGGTTGTGTGAGGAGGTACAGTGCTTCCATCTATGCCTCCATCTTGGCGGAAGTCCCTTATTTAGTGCATTTCCGACTTTATAGCCAAAGCTTTCCAACTGAAGAAAAGAAAGATTTAATGAAATGGAGTCAGACACACTCTATTGCCAGGGAGAATCTTCTAGGTTCCCTGCTCCTTTGAAAAGTTTTACAGAGGGAATCTTTTACTTCAAGAATGAAGCTGTGTTTCCAGAAATAGCCTAGTTATCACTAAGGAAGAAAGGAACATCTATGCCACACAGGAGCTTTCTCCCTTTTGGAAATGTCTTATCATCCCTTTCTCACTCTCCTTCTCTCTCTCTCTCTCACACACACACACATACACACATACACACACACACACACACACACACACACACACACAAATTAGGGGAATTCCCTGAAGCATACAAATAATGGCATTTTTTTTGGCCACAGTTGTGCAATTTGTCAAAGGGAAGATTAGGAATGGCATTTATAAACAACTGTAATTAGAACACATCTGAACAGCTGCAGGAATCAGATTTGTCTTTGTCACTGGTATATGGCTTCATGGTTTCCCGATGTCTGGGTCTTGCACACATCTCTGGAACCAGTCAGGACCAGCTAAATATGAAAATGGGTGATAGCTTATGACCAGGCCACATTCTTATATTAAAAGAAGTCTCCATTACTGGGTTCTTCTTTTGAAAAACCAAATAGACAAGGAAGTGACTAAAAATGGAGGGGAAGAGAGAGAAGACAGTTCGTACTATGTTTGTGACTCTGATTTAGGAATTGTCTCTCTGGTGGCTCATTTGGTTAGAGCATTGTCATAATCTGCCAAGGTTGCAGGTTTGATCTCCAGTCAGAGCACAAACAAGAATCAACCAATGAATACATAAACAAAGACAACAACAAGTTGATCTCTCTCTCTCTCTCTAAAACTCAACCAATCCATTTTTTAAGAGATTGTCTAAAGAAAACATGTTTTACTTACAATCTATTCATGACAGGGTCCAGGCACTTCAGCCCACAGCGTGAGCAGCACTTCGCTCCCAGTGGGCAGTCTTCATCCCACAGGCACTTGGGTTTATCAATCTTTGAACACAGTAGGGGCTTTTCTGGGCAGAAACCTGATTTGACTTTATGGGATAAAACAAAACACTTGACCTTGAATACTTGATTCTAGTTTGAGACAAATTTGGGGTAATCTTGGGAAGCCTAAACAGGGTTTTTGTCTGATTAAGCCTCTTATCTTTTCCCCTAGAGTAAAAATAGAGTAAAGGAGGCAGATTATCAACTTCTATAGCTAATAATTCGAGGAACATCAAAAAGTCTTGCCATCTCTGACTTTTAAAATCTGATAGTATTCCTACCTGTCCCTACAAAATTGATGAATTTGAGTTATCTGATCCCAGAGTGCCAGAGATAGGAGTATTAGAAATCATCCAGAACTTCCTTGTTTTATAAACTGTAGCAATTGAGGGCTATATAGGAGGGAGTAAGTTGCCTAAGGCCACACACACACACACACACACACACACACACACACACACAACAGTAGGAAAGTTGAAGTGACTGGAAAAGCCTTGACCCCTTCCATCATACCATGCTATCCCTCAAAACATTGATAATCCCAGGGACAAGACCATACCATCTCAGCACTGAGTGGCAGAATGAGCACTAACCACAGAGGCTGGGGAGTTCTCTTCTACCCCAACAGCATTTTACTACCAGTCTTTTCCCCAGCAAACCTCACACGATGTGAACATGCTATGCATGCTCTGAAGTTCTGTGCAGACACAAAGGGCTTATTAGGAATAAACTCAATGGTTATGATTTTTTTTGTATAAATAAGTGCATACTATCACCTTGTAGGCCATTGAAGAATGAGATTCAGAATAAATGAGGTTGCATGGGGAAAATGGAGGGTGGTCCCATGCATGATTGGCTTTGAAGAAGAACATGGAGTCTCCCAAGATCAGGAGGGCAACATGAGAGAATTGGTTGGACATTAAAAAAAGAAAAGTTCCCAAGAGACCTCTAAGGTCACCCTAAGACACAGCATGGCACCCTTAGCCCAATAGGTTTTGGGAGACATGTCCCAGTCCTCACCTGTCCAGGCCCTGGCACAAGCAAAGCCGCACATGGATTCACAACATTTTTCCATTTGAGGGCAATCGTTGTCACTCCTACATGAGTCCAAACATTCCATACGCTCCTCAGAAGGGAAGATTGGGCACTCTCCTTTCTTGACTAAAACAAGAGCAGACGTGAGCCCCTTTGAACCTCACCCATTCCCACTGCCCTTCAAACAGCTTTCCCTTCTCCTCAAAACAAGTATCTCTCATGACTTGGTTCATTCTGCCCACCTCTGGCGGGCTGTGGAGGAATGAAAGGCTTACATTTCATGAGATATAGAAGAGAGTCGGGATTGGTGTTCGACAGCCCAAGATAAAGTCCCAGTCCTGCCAATGAATGAGTGGCTTCAGTTTCCTTCTCTATAAAATAGGAGTAATTGTGTGAAATCTACACAAATCAGTGTAAGCCATTTTAGGGGATTTGGTTTTACTTTGAACAGGGAGTGACAGACTCTGACTCACATTTGAAAAGATCATTGTGGATATCGGGTTGGTCATAGACTGTAAAAAGGGAAGGAGAGAAGCTGGGAGACCTGTGAGGGACTGTTGCCATACTCCAGGGGAGGAGATGGCATCTCACATCAGGGTGGCTGCTGTGGAGGTGGGAAGAAGAGGTCAGAGTCTGGATCTATTTTCCTAATCTAATGAGTGTTGACTGAGAAAGAAAGATATCAACGGTGATTTAGGAGTAGTTTTTTCCAACCAAGATGGGGAGATCCGTGGACACAGCAGGTTTGAGGTGGGAGAGCTAAACTAAGCCATCCAGGTTTAGACAAGTTAAATGCGAGGTGTTTGTGAGATTCAGATGAAGGTGTTGAGTAAGTGATTGGAGCTCGGGAGGCAGATGTGGCTGGAGATACACATTGGTGGGTCATTAGCACATAGATGGAATTTAAGTTAATTCTTCAGGATTTTGCATGTCTCCCGTTGTCCTCATCTCATTGCAAATTCTACAATGACAGGAGGTGTTTCTTTTCACTTCTTCTTCCTCAAGTTAGACCCAGACTGCAGTGCGTTTGGCTCTTAGAGCTATTATCAAATTCTCTGTGAGCCCCAAAGCTATATATCTCTCACAGACCAGTTCCAGCCCACTCCCTTGGCCTCTTTCTGCTGGCCCTTTAGAGAGGGCCAAGGTCTTATCCATTGACATGACCCCTTACAGCCTCCCATAGAGGGAAGTCTGTGGTCTTAGTCTCATCAGGTCAGATTATAGGATTGCCCTGGTCATTTCAGGCTCACTGTGCCCATGGAATTACAGTTCTAGCCCTGCTCAGACCCACTGTGAACGCTTGGACAACTAACTTTACCACTCAGTCACCCTTTCCTCTTCTGTAAAATGGTGGCTATGGGACACTTCTCAGCCTGCCTTCCAGAATCTGAGGTCAAAAATGCTAATGCTGCCTTTGTAAATCACACAGTGCTACACTGTGAAGATCAGTGGTCACCATCTCAGGACTTCCGCCAAGATGGAGGTGTAGGTAGAAACACTGTGCCTTCTCGCACAACCAAGTTTAAAGACAACAAAGTTTTAGTAACCAAAACACAGAAAATTGAACTATACGGAAGTCCGACAACAACAAACTGTTCAGCCAAACCAGTAAGAGGGGCGGAGCCAGCAGTGGAGCGGGGTTGGGCAGGAAAGATCCCCCAACACAGGCGCGCAGGCAGCCATAGGTGGATCCCAGGTGTGCGGCAGCAATGGGCGGACCCAGTGAGGGTGCAAGGTGGCAGGCTGATCGCAGTCACACATTTGCGAACACAAAAACCAGCAAAGGAGGGAGCAGTGAGACAGACAACGCAGGCCCCAGTGGCAGGAAGCCGCAGAGGGGATCACTATTGCCCCTCTCTGACCCTGCCCCCACATACAGCATCACAACCCAGAGACCTGGGTAGCCCCACCCTGGTGAACACCTAATTCTCCCCTCCTCATACGTAACAGGTGTGAGCAGACCAAAACATGGCTCAAGTAGAACTCAAAGCCCTGGAGATGATAACTTTAAGCGACCAAGAAATAACCAAACTTTCAAATGCACAGTTCAAAACACTGGTGATCAGAATGCTCACACAACTGGTTGATTTTAATAACAAATTAGAGGAACATATGAAGGCTAAACTAATTGAAATGAAGGAAAATGCACAGGAAACCAATAGTGATGAAAAGGAAACTGGGACTCAAATCAAGGGAGTGGACCAGAAGGAAGAAAGAAATGACCAAACAGAAAACAACGAAGAAACAAGAATTCAAAAAAATGAGGAGAGGCTTTTAGAAATCACCAGGACATCTTTAAACGCTCCAACATCTGAATTATAGGGGTGCCAGAAGGGGAAGAGGAACAGCCACAAGTGGAAAACTTATTTGAACAAATAATTAAGGAGAACTTCCCCAATCTGGCAAAGGAAATAGACTTCCAGGAAATCCAGAAAGCTCAGATAGTCCCAAAGAAGTTAGACCCAAGGAAGAACACACCAAGGTACATCATAATTACATTAGCCAAGATTAAAATGAAGGAGAGAATCCTAGAAGCAGCAAGAGATAAGGGGACAGTCACCTACAAAGGACTCCCCATTAGACTGTCAGCAGATTTCTCAAAAGAGCCCTTACAGGCAAGAAGGGGCTGGAAAGAAGTATTCCAACTCATGAAATCCAAAGACCTACAACCAAGATTGATCTATCCAGCAAAACTTTCATTTAGAAGGGAAGGGCAGATAAAGTGCTTGTCAGATAAGGTCAAATTCAAGGAGTTCATCATCACCAAGCCCTTATTATATGAAATGTTAAAGGGACTTACCTAAGAAAAAGAAGATAAAAAAGATGAACAGTGAAAGGACAGCAAACTCACAGTTATTAAGAACCACACCTAAAACAAAAGCAAACTAAGAGGACAGCTAGATCAGGTGGGGAACCATAGAAATGAAGATCACATGGAGGGTTAGCAACAGGGGATTGGGAGGAGGAGAAGGGGGGAGAAGGTACAGAAAATAAGTAGCATAGAAGGTAGGTAGAAAATAGATAGGGGGAAGGGCAAGAATAGTATGGGAAATATAGAATCTAAAGGATTTGAGACACGTGGTCATAAACTAAAGGGGGGATGGTGGGGTAGGGGGTGTACAGGGTGGAGGGGAATGAGGGGAGGAATAGAACAACTGTAATGGCATAATCAATAAAGTATATTTTAAAAAATAAAATAAAATGACAAAAAAATGGTCACCATCTCAATTGTTGCTATTTAGTGAGCCCACATTACTGAACAGCCACCATGTCAAATCTTTGTGTCTTTAATCACATATAATCCTGCCAGCAACTGAATAAGGTCTTTGCTATCATTCCAGTATTAGAAGGATGAGACATGAAACTCAAAGAAGTGAAGAAATTTGCAATAAGTGGGAAAAGTAGGGTTTTAATCCAGGTCATTTGGCTTCTAAACTCAGTGGGATCCTGTCTCCCAACATCATTGGTGATGGTCATTATACAAAGGAATGAATCCACCACCCTCGCCTTCTTCCTACCCTTCTCTTCACCTACTCCATGTTCTACCCCTACAACATGGGATTCCAGAGCTGACCTGCCTATGCTTTGATCCCGAGGGAGTCCTCAGGTGGTACTCAACAGGTCAATGTGATGAAGAAACACCTGCTTCTAAGGGGTAGACCAGGCTTTCAGATCTCAGTGGCCAAAGATTAACACTGAGATAGTTATGTGCAGTATCTCATTTTTTAGCACAATTCAATTAGGTAAATACTGTTATTATTCCTATTTTATAAACAAGAAAACTGAAACTCAGAAAGGCAGGTAATTCACCTAAGACTGCCCTGCCAGTGAATGACAGAGCCAAGACTTGAACCTCAAAGCCTGGGCTTCTATCAGTGCAGGTATTCTATTTCTACTTAGACTAGCCCTCTGGTTGCCAAGGATAAAAGTCTTACCAGTTAATGAGCAAGCCGTCATGCAGTCTTTCTGGCTGAGGAAGTTGTTGGCATTCCCATTGCAGCCTCCATAGTTAAAGTGTTTGCATACATTATCTTGTAAGTCAAAATACCAGCGGGTAGTAACACTCCTACAGTTTCCTGGATCTACAGGTAGCATGCAGGGTTCTGAGGGCAAGATGCAGAGAGGTTAAGTACATAAAAGGTAGTAAAAGAGGGAAGGGGTCAGGCCCTCAGCCTTCGTATAGTACATGGTGTTACCATTCAAGTCCTAGAAAGAGCCGTGGTCGATAGGTGTTCTAGTCCCAGCTCTACTGTGTATGTTCTGTGGTGAAGAGCATCTCTGAGCATCATTTCTATCTTGCAAAGCATATCATGTACGGGACATAGAATACTTTGGAAATGATCTTTGCCCTGCTCTGAGTTCTAGGGCAGGGGCGGGCAAGACTTGTTCAGCAACTATAGCCAAAGTGCCTAAGACAGCACCTGACACATAGGAGCAAATAAAATAGTGGAAAGAAAAAAAGCAGCCCCTCATGGCTAAAGACTTTTCTGATGCTCAGAGCTAAGTCATGTTGTTCCTCTGTCGGACTTAAACAATCTCACAGGACATTCACCTCAAATAAGGTCACTCTGTGTCCATGATAATGTGACACCAAGAAAAAATCATTATGAAATCCACAAAATACCAAACCCTATGAGTGATTTTTGCTTCTCTACCAGTTACAGCTCTGTCTTCCCTCTAGCCTTCCCTCTCTACAGCTAAGATTCACTGAGATACTCATAGAATTGCCTCCACTTACTTAGACCCTCCTTGAAATTACCCAAAGCCTCAGCCCTATGGTAGATTCTAACAGCTTCTTCCCGAGATTCCTCAGGTTGTCTATGGTGAACCTTCACACCTACTGTAATGAGAAATCAACCCAATGTGTCCAACTACATGTGTTCCAGGTGCTCTTTGGCCAAAGGGCATTGACGATACATATTTGCTGAATTAAGCTACATAAAATGCACAGTTCCCTATTATAGGAGCTTATTACTTTGAGTTACCAGAAAACTTCCTTGGAGGCCAAAGTGTTCAACAACAATCCCAGCCTCTAAGCCACCATGCAAACAATAGTCTCTTAACACACAGTAAGCATGTACTTGAAGGCTGGGAGTCTAATTAGGGTAGGAGCAAAGCTCAGACCTTGACCTCTTTAACCTGACATCCCAGGGAATTGTTCAGCCAGGTCTGGACCAAGCAGGAAGTAGGGCACCTCCAAAGGCGCCTCAGCCAGGAAGCCAATACCTTCATATGGATCCATGCACTTCTTCCCGCAGGCAAAAAAGCAACACTTCCTTTTTTCATCACAGGCGAAATCCTCTCTGCACAAGTCTGGAACCCTAGCTTCGCAGATGATCCTCTCTGGGATGCATTCTCCTGGCTTCTCTGTAAGAAAGACATGTCTGAATTCACATCCCTTGAGAGTTTCAGCTCTTCTCCCATGGCAAAGGTGAATAGTGAAACCCTCCCAGGCCTCTCCTCTGCCGTTAAGCTGCAGTTCTTGCTCTGCTTGTATTTAGGGACTGGATCTGCTGCTCACCATGCTCAGCCCATTCAAGTAGATCTGAATCAGAAATGTGTGCCCAGGTAGAACCAAAGGGGAAGCTTCTTGGATTCCAGGGCAGGGGGTTAAATAGGGACCAAGATCCTTGCCTTAAATTCAGGAGCCCCTATCTCCTCTCAAAACTCAATATTTTAATGCCTAAGTTTCTGCCTCTTGTATCTTAGTTGACAGGGGAAATTAATTAGTGAGAAATAATAGAAATATCATGGAAATCGGAGTCAGGAGGCCTGATTTTGGCTTCTGACTTCCTCTAAGCTCAAGACCACCTGGGTTCCGCTACATGACTTCACAGGTACGTCTTAACGGAGGAGCGACCAGTAGAGGGGAAGAAGCCCTGTGAGGCAGATCCGGCTAGAGAGCCTGCCTCCTACCCAACCAGCTAAAAATCCTTGGGGAAAAAAAGGTCTCCGTTGTCTGCGTCATCATGGCCCTGCCTGTAAAATGAGAATACAACCTCTATCTTATGGCTGCTTATAAGAATGAAATGGGATGCCTAGACTGCACTTATCACAGGACCTGGCACATGGTGAGAGCTTGGCAGGTGGGGATTTCTTTTTAGGGCCCCATATGGAATCCTTATGTCGGTGCTTTTAGGAGGCAGAATTCTGAAGTTGCAGCCCTCCAAATTCCCATTCTCTAGTTAATGAATCAAGCACCTATTTAGATAGTTCCACGCAAGGATTTTGTAGAGGGAATTAAAGTCTCAAGTCAGTTGACCTGAAGACACAGAGATTATTTAAGTGGGCCCGATCCGATCTGTTGAGTCCTTAAAAAGAAGAGGTTGATTTTTTTCCTAATTAGTAGAGGAGAAGAGGTCAGAAAGATTCAAACTCTAAGAGGAACCTGTTATGCTATTAGTAGCTTTGAAGGTGGAGGAGGCTGAGCGCCCAGGAGTGAGGGCGGCCCCTACAAGTTGACAGGCAGTAAGGAGCCCTCAGTTCACCAGTCACAAGAAAATGATCCTGCTAACAACCAGTGAGCTTGGAAGAGAACCCCGCATTCCAGGTGAGAACTGAGGCCTTGGCCAACGCATTGGTTCCAGCCTGGTCAGGACCTGAGTGTAGGATCCACACCCACCGTGCCGGACTCTTCACGGACTGGGAACTGGTTACAAGGCAGCAGAAAGCAGCTACAGATGTGGCTTCATGGCTCTAAACTGAGGCTCTCTCCAGTGGAACCTGACCAGAGACGTGGCACCCTCTTAAATATAGTGAGTGTGTGATTACAGTTCAGAATTACAAACACTATAATAATCATTAGTATTAACCTCCTAATTTCACAGATTTTTTTAAAAAATGAGGTCAGATAGGATGATACAGTGACTTACGAGAAAGTGTGGGGCTTCTAATCCATGGCTCACTCCAGAAGCCCCGCATCTCCCCTGAGGTCTGGCCGCTGAGACTTGTAGCACTTTGCGACTGTATTTCTCACCCCTTATCCCAACCTTAATGCTCCCTCCAAGGATAACCTGAAGCTAAGAAAAGCCTATGGTTCCTAATCTGGAGGGTACATCAAAATATCTGCGCGTTGTTTAGCCAATACAGACTGTGGGCTACATCAGAACCTCTGGCAGGGGTGTCCAACCTGCAGCCCACGGGCCGCATGCACCCCAGGATGGCTATGAATGCAGCCCAATACAAAATCATAAATTTACTTAAAATAGTGTGAGATTTTTCATGATTGTGTGTCACAATGGATTTAACATGTGGCCCAAGACTACTCTTCTTCTTCCAGTGTGGTCCAGACACCAAAAATTTGGACACCCCTGCTAGAAAGCGAGGCCGCGGGAATCAGATTCTTTCAAGTTCCTAGGTGATCCTGCAGCAGCCAGCTGGGCTCCAGGATGCAGGCTGCCACTTGGGAACCATGCTCTAGGTTTGGACCAAGGGCCCAGGGAGAGTTCAGTCAATCACATAGGAAGACCTCCAACGGGCTAGAGGGGCACAGCAACCTTGCGATTATGAAGACAAACTTCCTTCTCTCTCACTAGTGCCAACTCCAGCCAGTTCTGCCTGCTTCCTGTTTGGGGGGAACCGTTTAAACCTTTGTTAGAGTTTCTTTCAGTCATGGTACCTCCTTACCCCACTGTCAGCTTGAACTCTCACTCAGAATCCTCCTTCCTCCCTGTCAGCCCCTTTCAACCTTGTCCTCTGTGACCCCTCCTCTCCACCTCCCAGGGCTTCCTCCACAGTGACTGAGAACCCTCCCCAGAGTTCTGGTCTCAGCCCTCTCCTGGCATTATTCAACCACACTTCCCAAGTGACCACATCCATTCCCATGACAATCCTAACTGCGATTGCCTGATCTGCCCCCACCCCTGTCCTCTCTTCCAGGCTAAGGACACTTATATCCAACCCCCTGGGGAAAACGGCATTTGAGCATCTCAAAGCACCTCTGACTGCAACATGTTCAAAACCACACCAGTGTTCTCTCCATGCCTAAACAGCTCCTTCTCTCTGTTCCCATCTTGACACCTGGCATCAGTAGTCCCCTGGGATTAACTCCTCCCTTTCCATCAGCCTAACATCCTTATCAGTCATGGACTTGGGCCGATTCGATCTGCTAACTCTCAGACCCCATCTCCTCCCACCCTTTCCTACGACTTCCTCAAGTCAGCATCTGACCTCCCAGCATTCTCAACGATTCCTCCTGTCTAATGACTGATTCATTTTTAAAAATTAAACTCGGAAAAGACACATGGGGGAAAAGCTAGGGAAATAATTTTCAGGGAGCAGGTGAGGGAAGGATTTGAAGGGCCCAGGGTGACTGAGTAGGGCTAGTTCTCTGAGGCCACAGCTGAAGTGGCTTCATCGGACAGCCCGCGTAGGGCCCTCAGCACCCCCAGGGAATGCCTGCTACAGAGCAGCAGCAGCTTTTCTGAACCCACGTTTGACTTTTTTGTGAGGCCCCGCCCATGTCTGCTCCAGCAAGAGGGAGAGAAACAGCAGGAGAGCTACTTTCCTCCCGGAGAAGGTGGAGCTGCAGTGAGGAAGGAACCTGTGTGGGGGGAGAAGAGGGGCAGGAGTTAGGCACAAACTAGAGAAGAGACACAGCATATGCGGATGACCCTTAAAGACGATCCACCAATTCCCTTAGTTCACAGAAGAGAAAACAGAAATGCATAATGGGGAAGGGGCTTGTTTCCGGTCACATGGCAAGTGGGGCAGGACCTTCAGTCCCAGGACCCTCCCATGGTCCCACACTCTTCCATGGTGCTGTATGTATGCAATCTATCCAGACACTGGCCCATTGTCTCGCTCTGGGTGAGAGGCCACACATGAACGACCACAGCGATTCATCCAGGACAGTGCAGGGCTGGTTTGCCCAGAGTCACTCCAGGGGCAATCCCAGGCACCCTTGTTTTGCACTGTGGATGGGAAGAAGCTGGGGAGCCTGGGTGTATGGCACTGGGTCTGAGTGCCCCAAGAAGCAAAAAACATCCCGATGGCCTTGAGTTAACAAAAGGATCCCTCTTCTTCCTTTTGATGTCATCCAAGTCTAGGAGTTTATGATACGTCCAGACAACCACATAAACCGAGGACCTTCCCCCCCTCACACACGTCTCCATTTTCCGGGTCTCTTCCTGACCTTTGTTGTGTCTGCGGCGATATACAAGCATTTTCTAAAATATATATTATCAAGGGTCTATCAAAGCTAATAGTATTCAAACTTTCCAACACTTAACAGAGTGTATCAGATTAAATGAGGAATTTAAACAAAACAATAATGGGTATAGTTAACAGCATTATTAATCATTTGGTAAATGCCAGTAAAACCTTTTTGGTAAACTTTCCAGAAACTAAGAAAATCACTTGTGATTTGTGATCAATATTCTAACTACTAGGAAACAAATTGTTTTGTAAATATAAGGTTTCTAATTCTATTCCTTGATAAAAGTGGAAAGAGGGTTTAATCAAGCTGTTGATTAATATTTAACTTTGATCATTAAAATAATTTTTGATTATTTGATTTTAATTATTTTATATTTGGCCACATACTGGAAGGTCAAAGAAGCAGGTGACGTACCAGTAACAAAACTTTCATTACTGGGCACTTACATATCTTTGGGAGATGTATGTTCTGTAGAATTTTATCAATAAAATTTTGTGTATTGATCAATAGTTTCAATGTGTTTATTTATATAGTCATTATCATATGTTACTAAAGTGACAACTTGAACAGAAAATAAATCCATAAGGAAAAAAATGTATTCCTAGAGTTTTATAGTCACAGTAGATGTAAACATTAAATTTTAACTTAGGTACACGTTCTCTTTGCATAGAAACTGTGAAAGGTCATGAATAAAAAGGCTGTTGAGCATAAGCTTGTATTCCATTAGATGAAAAGTCTGTGGGGTAAGAGGACTAGAAATAGGAGTTTGAGGGAAAGAAAAAGTGTTTAAAATTTTCCAGCTATTAAAGTGGTTTTCATATGTACATATATCTTTTTTATCAGTACAGAGGTCTTTCATTTTGTTACACTCATCACGCCATGAATTCACAGGGGGTGGGTTCCGGCAGCTCACACTCCTTTCCGCGGGTCCTCACACAGTGCGCAGCTCTGCGTGGAGCAGGCTGGAGCTTCAGGTGGCCCCAGGCACCCTTCTCCTGGGCTTCCTTCTTTTTCTGATCATTTTTCTTCACACGCCCCAGGAAGCTATCTTGGCTCTTAGAGTGTTTAATGTACGCAATACATAGACTAATTCTCTTGGTGAGAATCTTGCCCTTAACTTTGTTGACAATGCCTACGGCATGCTGGGTAACACCGTAGATGCCTCCGATTTGGTAACATTTGTGGGACATTCCTTTTTGAACAGTGCCCATTCCCTTGATGTCTACAAAATCACCTTTCTCATAGATTTGCACATACATGGCCAAAGGAACAACACCATGTTTTCTAAAACACCTAGAGAGCATAGAGCAGGTGCCTCTCCCCTTTCCCTTTGTGTTAGTCATTTTGATGAATTACTGGAAGATAGCAGCTCCAGCCAAAGAGAGAAGACGTATATGTTTTAAATGGATGATGGTGGGTACTGAATTAGTATGGCGTTTTGACCTCAATTAATTTATTCTTCAAAGTTATAAAGGAGTTTTAAAATATTAATATTTAAAGCATGCTTGCATAATGAATTTAAGATTCTTTTATGATGTTGAGGACTGTTTGTACCTTTTCGTTGCTGAGTTATCGTCCATTGTACGGTTGTAACAGAGCTTGTTTATCCATTGACTGGTTAATGGCCTTTTGGGTTGTTTCTGGTTTTGGACAATTATGAGTAAACCCTCTATAAACATTTGCATACAGGTTTTCATATGAACATAAATTGTCATTTCTTTTGGGTAAATACTGGGCAGCGGGATTCCTGGGCTATGTGATAAGCATGTATAAGACACTGCCAAACTGGTTTCCAAAGTGGCTGTGCCATTTTGCACTTCCACTAGCATAAGAGTGCCACCTGCTCCCCATACTTGCTGGCACTTTGTATATGATTTTATTTTAGTCATTCTAACAGATGTGTAATCTGAAGCTATTTTAAGAGATTAAAGTCATTAGCTTAAATTTCTGGGATTCTAAGAATCTAAGTCACTTAGAATGATGGTGTGAAGATGTTTCCTATTTCCCAACTCTCCCTAGCACACTGTTAAAACAGCCTGATTGGTGAGGAGTTTTTCTCCAGAACCCCGTCACTGAACCTACCTCCTTCTCCACAGGTCAGAGGTCACTCTTTGCAGTAAATTGAGGAGCATCTTGCAATGGAAAGATCTGCAGATGTCCAAGAGCTGGTGGAAGAGTATGAATTGCCAGATTACAACCTTTGAAAAGTACAGGTAAGACCCCATCATGACCCCCTACTGCTCCTGGGCTGGGACCACACCCTGCCTCAGGGTCCTATGCTGTTTCCAAACACAAAACTCCTTATTCAAATCTCCCTCATCCCCATGGCATGGTGTGTGCTGTCTCATGGCTACTCAACCACGAATGTGCCTTCAGCCTTGGTCACAGGGTAGGAGACCCCCCGAGGAGGATAATTAGCTCTGTAGGTCTCTTTAATACACCTTACCTTAAGTTCATACAGGGTAAGTAGATGCCTCCTCCAAAGACACGACCTTCTAAATAACTCCTACTTTGTGATCTGCATTCTGATATTGAGGAAAGGCAGTCTCTAAGTGTGGAGTGCAGAGCACGGTATATCTTCATAGTGTTTTGTTTAAATGTCTTCAATCTTTCTAATATTTTTTTCTCTTTGACGTATCAATAACTGAGAAAGGTGTGTTTAGGGCTCTTCACACACCCATGGGTTTCTCAGCTTATGCCTTTAATTTCATTGATGTTTGTTTAATAGATCCTGATTCTATTAATTTGGGTAAATATGAATGAATTCCTGGCGAGCTGAATTTTTTTTATCAGTATACAGTGACCAAATACACCAAGTGCAGAGACAGCGAGCAACAAAGGAAAGAGAAGGCATTCTCTTACAGGAGACACTACTCTGTGAGTTCGATAAAAGCACAGACTGAGGCTTTTTCTCTAGGAAGGAGGGAGAGAAGGGAGAGAGGTCTGGTGTCCAGCTTTATAATGTGGTACAACTCCCTGCAGCATTGGTCTCTCTCTTGCTTTATTTTACATTAAGTACTGCTGACCAGTGAAGATTTCTCTCAGTCGAGACTAGTTCATAAAGGCTGCTCCTTCAAATGTGCAGACAAGGGAGCAAATGTGCAGGGACTTGAAGAGTCAACAAAATGTGACACATTTAAAGGAAGAAAATAAATCTTCAGGAACAAACCCTGAAGAAATGGAGATCTGTGAATTGCCCCACTAAAAATTCGAAATAATTGGTTTTCATAGCTCAAAGACAACACAGATTGACAACCAAATGATACCTTTAGGTATCAAATGAAAAAATTTCAAAAAGTTATGTGAACAAAATGATATCGACAAAGAAATAGAAATGATAAAAAAAGGAACCAGATAAAAATACTGCAGGTGGAAAATACAATAAATGAACTGAAAAAATTCACTAGAGAATTCAGAAACAGACTTGGTCAAGAAGAATAAAACAGTGGACTTGAAGAGAGGTCATTATCTGATGAAAATTGAACTCAACAGCATAGTTAAAGGATCACACAACATGACCAAGTAGAATTTACCCCTAGGATGTAAAGATGGCTCAACACCTACAAATCAAGCAGTGTGATAGACCATGTTAACCGAATAAAGGATAAAAATCACATGACCATCTCAATAGATGCAGAAAAAGCATGTACAGAATTCATAATCCTTTCATGATAAAATTCTCAACAGTAAGGGTCATATACGACAAGCCCACAGCTAATATAATACATAGTTAATATCATACTGAAGCTTTCCTTCTAAGATTGGGAACAAAACAAGGATGTTCACTCTTGCCACTTCTTTTCAACACAATACTAGAAGTCTCAGCCAGAAAATTACACAAGAAGAAGAAATGAAATGCATCCAAATTGGAAAGGAAGAAGTTAAATTGTGTTGGCTGATGACCTAAATTGTGTTTGCTGATATATTTTAATATGTATATATTTTTTAAAAGCCATAAAGAAAAACTGATAGAACTAAGAAAAATTCAGTGAAGTTGCAAAATACAAAATTAACAAATATAAAATCAGTTCTGTTTCTATATACTAACAAAAGAAATTAAGAAAACAAAATGATTTATAATAACATTAAAATCAATAAAATAATTAGGAATAAATTTAGCCAAGAAGATGAAAGGTTTGTACACTGGAAATTGTAAAACAGCAATGAAAGAAAGTGGAATTATACCTCATCTTCATAGATTGGAAGACTTAATATCATTTAAAGGTCTATGCTACCCAAAGTGATCTATAAATTCAATGCATTCCCTATCAAAATTCCAAAGATGTTTCTTTCATAAATAGAAAAAACAATCATAAAATTCTTGTAGATTCACAAAAAACCCCAAATAACCAAAACATTCTTCAGAAAAAATAGCAAGGCTGAATGCATCACACTTCTTGATTTCAAAATATATTAGAAAGCTACAGTAACTAAAACAGTATGCTATTGTTATAAAAACAGACGTGTAGACCAGTGGAACACAGTAGAGAGCCCAGAAATAAATCCACACACTTACAGTAAATGTTCTTTGACAAGGGTGCCCAAAACACACAAGGTGGAATGTATAATCACTTCAGTTAATGGCATTGAGAAAACTGAGTATGTTTATAAGAATAAAATTGGGCCCTTATCTCACAGCATATGCAAAAATCAACTCAAAATCCACTAAAGCCTTAAATGTAATGCCAAAAACTATAAAAGTACTAGAAGAAACTATAGGGGAAATGTTTCTTGGCACTGGTCTGGGCAACAATTTTTTTGGATATGATCCCAAAAGTACAGGCAACAAAAGCAAAAATAGACAAATGGGTTTGCAAACTATAAAGCTTCTGCACAGCAAAGGAAACAATCAACAGGGTGAAAAGAAAACCTACAAATTGGGATAAAATATTTACAACCACATATGTATCATACCCAAATTATATAAGGTGTTAATATCCACAATATACAAGGAACTCAAACAACTCAATCCCAAGAAAGCAAATAACCCAGTTAATAAATGGGCAAAGCACTTGAATAAATATTTCTCAAAAGAAGACATATAAATAGCCAACAGGTCATGAAAAGGTGCTCAATAATAGTAATCACAGAGAAATGTAAATCAAACCCACAATGAGATACCACCTCACACCTGTTAGAATGGCTGTTATCAAAAAGACAAGAAATAACAAGTGTTGGTAAGGACGTGGAGAAAAGGGAACTCTTGTACACTGTTAAGTGGGAATATAAATTGGTTACAGCCATGGTGGGAAACGGTCTCAAGATTCCTCAAATATTGAAATACAACTACCATTTGATTCAGCAATTCCACTTCAAAAGAAATGAAATAAGTGTCTTGAAGAGGGATCTGCACTCCTGTTCATTACAGCGTTATTCACAATAACCACTATATGGAAAAACCTAGGTGCCCCTCGATGGACAAGTAGCTAAAGAAAATGTGACATATGTAAATATGATTCAGCCTTAAAAAATCCAGTCATTTGTGACAACATAGAGGACCCCGGAGGCTATCATGCTAAGTGAAACAAGCCAGACACAGACAGACAAAACCTGCACGATCTCACCTGTAGGTGGAATCCTAAAAAGTTGAAGCGGAGAGTAGAATGGCGGCTGCCAGAGACTGGGGCCTGGGAGAGATGGGGAGATGCTGGTCAAAGGGCACAAGCCTTCAGTGATAAGATGAGTAATTTCTGGGGATCTGACGTACAGCAGGGTGACTGCAGTTACCAATACTGATTTACGCACTTGAATTTTCTAAGAGAGTAAATCTTACGCTCTCACCACAAACAGAAGTGACCATGTGAGGTGATGGATGTGCTAACTTGGTTGTGGTAGTCATTTCACAATCAATACCTATATCAAAACATTATGATGCACACCTTAAATATATATAATTTTAACTTGTCAATCAGGCTTCACTAAAGCTGGAAACAAATTATTTAATTTTTTTTTAAGGTTCGCTGGGTGTTCAGAACCAGATTCACAGTTATTTTCTGCCAGCACTTTGGAAACATATTTCCACTGTCTTTAGGCTTCAGTTGCTGCTCTTAGTCAATGAGGTCTTTCTGTTTCTTTGCTTTTTACTTCAGTTACATATTTCATTTCTAGATGTTCTGTCTGGCCCTTTTCCAACATTTTTCCAACATGACTGGGGAAAAAGGGTTCCCTTTACCCTTAGTCATGCTGTAATTGCCATCTCTTAATTCTTTTCCTTTTATTTCCTGAGCATTTTTACTTTGCATTCTGCATGCAATAATTCCAATATCTGAAGTCTTTGGGGATCTCTGCTGCTTCTCTTAGCTTTTCTTCATCTTTTCTTGTTTTCTTAAACTGTGAGTGATTTTTTCTTTCTTGTGAGCTCTTGTACTTAACAGAAGCTTATCTTTAATGGCACTTAATCTGTGCAATTTCTTGAAATCCCATATTGAAGGCTGAATTTTCTAAATCACCCTTTGTTTTCATATCACCCTAACAGCTCAGACCATTTGGAATGAATTCCCTGGCCATGGGCTTCTCAGACTCCACACTCTGACCCACTGTCACGCAAGGAAACCAGCTTGTAGTTATGAATTCCTGAAGAGGTCGTTCCCTTCCACTGAGTGGATAAATAAAATGTGGAATACACACACACACATATACACACATACACACACACACACACACAATAGAAAATTATTCAGCCTTTAAGAGGAAGGCAATTCACTACAGCATGTATAGAATCCTTGAGGGCACTATGCTAAGTAAAATAAACCAGTCACAAAAAGGAATCTGTGATATTGGGTTTTTATAACATTCCACTTATATGCGGTTCTGAGAGGAATCAAATTTACAGGGACAGAAAGTAAAATGGTGGTCACCAGGGGCTGAGGAGGGGGACGAGGACTGCTGTCTAACAGGCACAGAGTGTCAGTTTTGCTAGAGGAGAAGAGTTAGGACGGTTAACTTCACGTTATGTGCGTTTAACCACAATTAAAAAATAACAATAATATAAAAGGGAATTCTGGTTTCTGCTCGGAGGAGATGTAGAGAGCTGAATAAACCTCCCAGACTTACGGGGACAAAAAGCTGGGCAACGCTCTTGAACTCACCAGAGTGCTGAGCGCCCGGGGCAGCCAAGCCGTCCAGAATCTGGGGAGAGCCAGGCACCTGCAGGGAGAGAGGAGCTTGAAGACCTGCAGGGCATGTGGGCAGGTACTGGGAAGACTAGATCTGCGAGGGCGGTTGACAAATTGCTGGAGACTGAATGTGCACAGGCAGAAGAAAACGAAGCCCTGGGGGCTGCAAACACAGGTGGAGTCCTTAGCCTCTTGCAGACCTTTTCTCTGGGAACCCCACTGGGCACCTACAGAAAAGGTATTTAGAAATCTGAAAAAGTCTCTCTTGTGGTGCCAAACAAGACAGGGGAGAGTAGGGAGCAGCTGCTATGGAAGGGGCAAGAAGCTTTTTTTTTTTCTTTTTGAGATTAGGTGTTTTTTTTTCATTTTTATTTTATTGATTATGCCATTACAGTTGTTCTATTCCCCCCTTTCATTCCCCTCCACCCTGCACCCCCCACCTCTACCATTCCCCCCCTTTATCTCAAGTTCTTTGGATTCTATATTTCCCATACTATTCTTTCCCTCCCCCTATCTATTTTCTACCTACCATCTATGCTACTTATTTTCTGTACCTTCTCCCCCGGCAATAAGCTTTAACCTTGGGAGAGCGAGTAACACAGTTGCCCTAAGGTTACAAGAGTAATCTCAGTGCAGTTGGGGGAGGGGCAGAAAGAGGTGCCAGATTCAGAATTTTGTCCTGAGGGTGCGGGGAAGGGCAGGATCACTAGCAAGGCAATGTCCCCGAAACCCAGGAACACAGTGTCTGCCTAAGACCCAGACAATCAGAACAGCAGAGAATGGACCCCAACCACCACCACCGCGCAACCGGTCAGACTAGGAACACTTAGTTAACAAGTAACTTGCAGAAGCCAGTCATTCTCAGAGAGCACAAAGCTGAGGGTGGAGCAGCCACCTGGAAAAAGATCATCTGGTAAAGCCAGTTCCACCCTAAACACAGGTGTCTGTGTTCCAAGATGGGATGTGAGGTCTGCGGCCCACCCAAGATGACCACAGCAATGATAAACCAATGCACCGCCAGCTCAGCTCACAAACTCCCCCACCAAAGGCCTGCTGAGACCACTTCCAGGGAGACAAACTATTTCCTGGTTCCAATCCTTCTCTCTCCCACTGTAAAAAAATGGAAAGTAAGCAGTGGCAGGCAGATTGGGGAAGAAGTCAAGAATTCACACACCACATTACTGGTGATGAGTTTACTGGGATTTTTTTTTTTTTTTCCCCAATCTGGCATCCCCCTGGCTAACCTGGAAATAAGCAGCAGGGGGCAGAAAGAGAGAGCTTCAGGAAAAAACCTATAATTTTGGTTTGATGCATAGAAAGGGAACCTTGGGTGCTCAGACGAGGTGCAGAAATCCCCTGCCTTTTCTCTTTCTCTTCTGTGGTCCTGGAGTGATCCTGTGGTCCCGGAGTGATCCTGTGGTAGTACAGGCAGCAGCTGTGCGGGGGTTGGAAGGAGGGCAATCCTCTGCTGGGCACTGCTGTAGTATGGGTGGATACTTTTTGCCCCATCTCTTTTTCTCTCTGTTTGTTCTCCCACCACTTGGTCCTGGATGTGGATATAGAAATGCCTAACAGAACAGGGTAACCAAAGCCCCAGCTTTTGGAAGCTTTGGGGAAACAGAAGTTATATCTCCTTGGGGAGATCACAGAGGGAGGGAGTCAGGAAAGTGAACCCATACGTCGTCTATTTACTCTTGGCTTTAACTCCAAGCCCTGCATGCATGGACGTGATCTTCTTTGACATAGAACTTGGACAGATGAACAGACAGGGACACCACCACTTAGGTCCCAGACTAGCCACAAGGGAGTGCATATATGCAGGGAAGAGACTAAAAGAACAGAAAGGCTTTGAAAACGGGACTGACCTGGAAATCACAACCCGCAGAAGATGGGGTGAACTTTTCAGCCCGAGAATGACCATTTCAATTACTTTTGAAAACCAAATATCAACCTCCTCCACTGAGAGTTGGAGTCTCATAAGCTGGTATTCAAAATGTTCGATATACAATCCCAAATGAGGTAGCAAATGAAGGAAAAGGAATATATCAACTCATATAGAAAAAGGCTATCAACAGACTCCAATTCCAAGGAAAAATAAGTGTTGGAATTATCTGACAAAGACTTTAAAGTAGATATTATAAAAATTCCACAAGTAATTATGAACACCCTTGGAACTGGTGGAAAAGTAGAAAGTATCAGCAAAGAAATAGAAGACACAGAGAAGGATGAAAATGGAAATTTTATAAAGAAAGAACATAATAACTAAAATTAAAAAAACAGCTCTTAGTTTCATTAACCATTTTTATTGTTTTTCTGGTCTCCATTCTATTTGTTTCTGCTCTGGTCTTTATATCCTTTCTTAGTTGGTTCTTCATTCCTAGTTTCTTGAGGTATTAAAAGTTAGGTTGTTTGAGATTTCTCTTTTTCTTTTTTCTAAAAGATTTTATTATTTATTTATTTTTAGAGAGCTGGGAAAGGGAGGGAGAAAGAGAGGGAGAGAAACATCCATGAGTGGATGCCTCTTGCATACCGTCTACTGGGGGTCTGGCCCACAAGCCAAGCATGTGCCACCCTGACTGGGAATTGAACTGGCAATCCGTTGGTTCACAGGCCCATGCTCAGTGATGAGCTACACCAGCCAGGTCCTCTTTTTCTTCATTTAAGTGTTTAATGCTATGAAGGTCCTTCTTCTTAGAACTGCTTCGGCAGCATCTCATAGGGCTTGGCGTGTTGTGGCCCCTCTTTCATTTATTTCAGGTATTGTGGATGAGAATAAATTTCGACTGCAATAACCCCATGAGACTTCTTTTATGGTTGTTCTGTTACAGTTGCCCCCTATTCTTCCTCCATTGCTCTCCCCTACCCTCCTTCAATTCCAACCTTGTTGTCCCTGGCCAGGGGTCCTTTGTACATGTTACTTGACTAGATCCTCCCTCTCTTTCCCTCATTACCCCCCTCCTCTCTGGCCATTGTCAGTCTGTTCCTTGTTTCCATGCCTCTGGTTCTATTTTGCTCGTTTGTTTGTTTTGTTCATTAGGTTCCATTTATAGGTGAGATCATATGGTATTTGTCTTTCACTGTCTGGCTTATTTCACTTAGCATATTTCACTTAGCATCTCTAGCTCTACCCATGCCCTCACTAAGGCTAGTGTTCCATTGTGTAAATACACCACAGTTTTTTGATCCACTCACATGAATCTCTGTATTTTTGCTACAGCCATGAGCTTACTTGGCTAATACCTAGGTCTAACTGGGAAGGCCGAGTTGGGTGCCTGGACACATAATGGGATAGGAACAACTGTTGGAAGGGTTAGGGATTATAATAAGAAAAATGAAGTCATAGGGAGGGAGTAGGAAAAAAAATGCAGAGCCCACAGGTTGGTGTATCAGTTTATTTGGCAAAGACTTGAGCCTTCTCAGGATAGAGAGGTCCAGGACGGAACCAGGAGGCCCTCAGCTGGGGCCCGTGGGTGGCACAGCGGGGAGCCAGCCAGCACGTGTCTTTTACCACGTCCTCATCCCCCTGCCCACACTAGTGGTTGAACCCAGAGATGAGTATTGATGTGAAGGGTTCTCTGGAAGAGAAAAGTTAAGTGGTGAAAAATCAGGGAACCCTGGGGGACATCCATTCCCAAACGTAATAACACCCTTAGTCCCAGTTAATGGGAATAAGTATCATTTCTGTAAGATCGGGAGTTACCCAATTTTCAGCAAGTTCACCCGAGGGGTTTGTCAATTGAGCACATAGCAGAGACCGGCTCTCCTGGGGCCTGGTCGAGATGAGGGCCATGGAGAGGACAGACGGAGGAGGTAATGACTGGGGTCTTGGACAAAGGGAAGATGAACAACAGGCAGGATGGTGTTTCAGGGGAACTGAATGAGAGTGAGAAAGGAGTAGAGGTCCCCATGTTGGTATTTGGGTTTATTCTGCAGTGAGTGGCCGCTTAGGTGCGGAGATCAGAAGGCATTGCCTTATGTGTCCTGTCTCTTTGGCCAGGAGCTGGGTAACTGCCACCTTCTGTTCCAGGTCGCATCCTCTGAATGGCAGTAAGGAAGTGTACCCAGGCCCAACCTTCCCTCTCCAAGCAACTCACTCATTGTGCAAGCAGATGTTGCCACAGAAGGTCCAGCAGCATGTATAATTTGACCTTGTGCATCCACGTAACCTGGTGCACCTTTGCGCACAATACTTCATCGGCGGCTGTACCCAGCACTGCTCAATTTCTCTTACTTCATCTGGAAGTGAGATGATAGGAGTTGGCAGGGCCTATCCAGCCACAGTTTGGAAAAGAAACCCTTCTCAACCTTAACAGTCCTTTAGTTTTGGAACCTGAGCCCCAAGCCATAAAGTATTTCTGTCTTTCCAGAAAATTCCTTGCTCGAAGTCTAGCCAGTGTCTTTTCACAGGAGCACATCCTTGTATGGCATGACTTCCACCCAAGCACAGGTCCCCACGGTATTCCGGACCTTCCAGCCCTCTTTCCGGACCTTCCATACCCTCTGGCTTCAACTTCCACATCCAGTTTGCAGGCCGGAAAACTGACCTGGGAGAGACTAGGAGCCCACTTTTTCCCCCTTTTCTGTTCTCTCTCTTTTTTTACTTTTATTTTTATAGTTTTATTTTTTAATAATTTTTATTGTTTTACTTACAGTTGACATGCAATATTAGTTTCAGGTATATAACCCAAAACATTAGGCATTTATATAACTGATGCAGCGATCACCACAATAAATCTAGTAACCATCTGATATCATCCATAGTTATTGTAATACTAGTGACCATATTCCCTATGCTGTACTTTATATCCCTGTGACTGTTCTGTAACCACCAACCTGTACTTCTTAATCCTTTTATCTTTTTCACCTGGCCCCCCACCCCCTTCCCATCTGGCAATCATTGAAATGTCCTCTATATCTATGAGCCCATTTCCGGTCTGCTTGTCTGTTTGTTTTTTAGATTCCACATACAAGTGAAATGACATTTGTCTTTCTATGTCTAACTTATTTCACTGAACACAATGCCCTCTAAGCCCATCCTGGTGATACCACCTCATCATTCAGCCTCTCCCCAAATTCCACATCTCCCACTGGCCCAGAACCTTCCCTCTCAGTCCCTTCATTATCCCCATGTTTTTCTTTTTTATCAGATGACCCCAAATTTTGATTTGCCAAGTGCATCTTACTTATTTTGTCTATTTTTCATGGTTGAAAAGATTTTCCCCCCTTCAAGCTCAATGAATGTGTTGCATTACAATATTACCCTGTGGTATTCATCAAAGGCTCACTCAGATGAGGCATGGAGATTCTGAAAATACGGGCTCACAGGGCAGCTCTGTGCTGATGTTCCTTTTACCCAATGACCTGACCTTGCAGACTATTATTTCCCATGAGCTTATGAAATGCAGACAAAAATTACATTGCCCTTCCTTATACCCAGAGTTGCTTTCAGATCTGGGAGAGAGAGCTTGAAGGGCCATCAGAATGGGAATATTCAACCTAATCTTATTTGGATGTCTCTGCTTGAAGGAGGGTTTGATCCTTTGAAGGGCGATCCTGGAAAGTGAGCCCAGAGTCAGTTATGCCAGACATCCCAGGCCTGGGGAGGACACCCTCCTCCCTTGCCACACCACCTACAGATAAGTTTGTTCCTGACACTTCCCAGCACAGGCAGAAGCATCTCCACCCCACAGATGCACAGGATGAGTAGGAGAACCCAGGGCTTCATGGTTGTCTCTTATGTGTGTTTGGGTTAAGTTCTGGCACAAGACAGGTCTTCTCCAAATGCTGCAAGAGGCGGAAAAGGAATTAAGGAGAATAGGGCAGGAAAGAGAGAGAAAGTGCTGGTGAATATTGTGTTATTCCTCCTCCTACTTTTCCTTTTCACCCTCTGGCACCTAACAACATAGCAAGCTAGCCACCAGCTTCCCACGCTTCTTCCCCATCTCACATTGCAAACCGCTTCCTTTGCAAAATTATTTCTTTGAAAAAATCATTCCCGTTTTTCCACTTAAAAAGCAATAAATGCACAGATTGTATAAATCATACAACAAAAAATACAAAGAAAAATAGATATGCATTAGGAATTCTACCACCCCAGAAATAACCAGGATATGTGTGCGCCCTTTGATGTTGTGGTCATAGCTTTTATGAAGTTGGAATAATAGGACACCCTGGGTGTCCTGATTTTCTATTTAAGAGCACATGTAGCTGAATGATATAGTTTAGTCGAGACCCTACAACAAAGAGTACCAGAGTGATTCCAGAGTGAGCGATGAAATGGATTACTCAGCGGGACTTGAGAAAAGATGATGGCCGACAACTGGTCAAGGGACTCTTAAAGCTTTTCTCTACAGCCCTGGCCTGTATGGCTCAGTGGGTTAGGCATCATCCCACAAACCAAAAGGTCACCTGTTCTATTCTCAGTCAGGGCACGTGCCTGAGTTGTGGGTTCGGTCCCAGATGGGGTATCTACAAGAGGCAACCGATTGATGTTTCTCTCTCACATCACTGATTCTCCCTCTCTCTAGAATCAATTTTTTTTTAAAACTTGCATCTACATAGATGGTGTAAATGCAAGTTTTAGGCATGTGAATCACTGAGTCCTTGACTTTGAGGCAAATTGGATTTAGGTGAATTGAGGAGAGACAAGAGCAAGAAAGAGGAGATTATGGAAAAGATAGGGGGGAAAAGAAGAGAAGCCCTTAAAATGTAAAAGATAAAAGATAAGCTATTTGGGGACTTCCACTCTCCAGCGCTTATATCTGCTCTGCAACCTACTCCATTCGGAACCCACAACCCTGCCAGCTTGTCTTGGCATGGCTTGAGGAAGGAAAATTGCCAAGTTAAGGTGTTGAGGTTTCATTTACCATTGAGCAATATTTACATCAAAGGCTACAACTTAATTGGTGATAACCCCAGGCCAAAGAAGACTATGTCTGAGCATGGGAGGCCTCCAAATTCTTATAATTTATAATACTTGTCTTTTTTGCACAGGAAAGCCTCGGGCATGGCTCAGAGCATTCTTCTGACCCTCTGAAGGCATCACCTCAGAGCAAGACAGATGTGCAAAGAAGATAGCACTCCCACTTACAGGTGAGGGTATGAGGCAACTGAGTGAAGCTGGGCATGAGTTGGGGTTCCTGGCACCTGCCTTTTGCACAAAGAAGGAGGGAGACTGGCACATCATGACAGAAACACAATAAATCCAAAATAATAGGTTCTATAAAGCTGTTTATTGGTATTCAAAAATACCATTCTAAATTTGAGTTGTCCAGAGCTTTGACATCTGTTCATCTAAAAGACTTCATGTTTAGTCCAGTTTTCTGAGTTCCCTACTTGCCCTTAAAGGGTGTCTAGGATCTAGGGATGCCCAATGCCCTTCTTTGCACAGCTCAGGTATACTAAGTGATCCCAGAGAAGAGAAACATCATCACACCCAGGCCAGGTACTACTCACATACGGAGTGCTGGGTGGATTCTTTGGCTGTCCTGATAGAGTACAGAACAATGAAAAGGTTCCTAGGTATCACAAAGGCACAGAACTACTGCCCACCCCCAGAAACTCAGGATCCCTGGGCTTTTTAGGTAATGTTAAAGGAGAGGAAGAATTGAATTGCAAGTCAACAGTGCTGGTTTCTTGTTTCGTCTCTGTCCCTTTTACCTTTGGGGCCTCGGACGGGTCATATCATCTCTATCTCCATTTAGTATTTGAACAACAGAGACAAGTTCCCCACCACACGGAAATAACATTGACACCACCTGAGCAGGGAACTCATCCAAACAAGCCACAGATAAAAACCTATGCCTCAAGACCCTTCCCCCCACCTACCTCTGAAGGTGTGAGTTGAGTGTCTGCCCTGGTAACTCCTGACAGCTCTTTTATCTGGAGTCTCCTGACTTGGGGGTGGGGTGGGGGGGAGGAAGGTTGTGTCCTGGAACAGGGGGCAGGAATGCAGAACAACAAAGGTCAAAGGCCTAGAACTTAATGGGGATTTGGATAGTAGCATCTCTTTATGTTCTGCCCAGTAACTTCATGTTGGGCAGATCACAGACTGTTTTCTCCCATACTCACCCATCCAGAAGTCCTGGGTTTTCTTTGATGTGAGCAGTATCTCCCACTGAGCTAGGAGGCACATCGTGTACCTGGCTTGCAGCTCTGGCCACCCCCAACATACCCCAGTCTAGTGTCTTTATCTACTGCATTTGTGTCCATCCATCAACTGGACGTGGAGAATAGTCTGTTTATCTTTTTTTCCTTTGACTTGTGTGGGCTATGAAAGGTCTAACCCTCTTCTGTATTGATTCTCCTTTGCTAATTAAAGCATAACACCACCTTCCACCAAATGCCATGTGAGTTTTATGTGAATAAAAAAAGACCAAATAGGAAGGACGTTAGAAGGAATAGATTTGGTTCACCAAGTATCAAAGAGGAGCCTCATATCGGGCATATGAGCGTATGTATATTTATTTATATATACCTAAGATATCTATTTATTCTTTCATCTGCCAACTCCACTTTTCTTACGTTAGTTTAAAATCAAGGCAATCAACTAAATGGGGGAGGATGTTTGCAAAAAAGACCTCCAATAAGAGGCTAATATCCCAAAAAATAACTCCCACAAAAGAACTCCCACAACTCAACAACAACAACAACAACAATAAAAGTTAGAAAATGGGCCGAGGACCTGAACAGACACTTTTCCCAAGAAGACATATCAATGGCCAACACGTATATGAAAAGATGTTCAACTTCACTAGCTGGAAGGGAAATGTGAATCAAAACCGCAATGAGATACTACATCACAGCTGTTAGATTGGCTGTTATCAATAAGACAATAACAAGTGTTGAAGAGGATGGGAGGAAAGAGGAATCCACATCCACTACTGAGGATATAAACTGGTACAGTTACTATGGAGACGCCTAAAAAATTAAGAATAGATCTACCATCTGACCCAGCAATCCCTCCTTTGGGTATCTACCCCAAGTTTTTCAAAACATTTATTTGTAAATATATATGTACCCCTATGTTCACTGCAGCATTATTCACCATAGCCAAGATACGGAAACAACCTAAGTGAACAACTGGATGAAGAGGATGCAGTACATCTATGCCATGGAATACTACTTAGCCACAAAAAAGGAGGAAATCCGCAAAATCGTGGTAGATCTTGAGAGTGTCATGCTAAGCAATGTGAATGAGATGGAAAAGGACAAGAACCCTATGATTTCATTCATATGTGAGATATAAAACAGAACTAACAAGCAAACGCATAGACAAAGACAACAGTATGATGGTTATCTGAGGGAGGGGGGGTGGGAGGAATAGGAAGAGAATGAAGGGGGTCAAGTAAATGGTGACGAGAGGAGACTAGACTTTGGTGCTGAGCTGGCAGTGAAAGGTACAAACGTACGACAGAATTGCACACTAGAAACTTATGTAACTATTAATAGTTATAGAACTAATATTACAGTTATCCCAATAACTGTAATCGTTTTTTTAAATTCAGAGTTTATGAGTAAAAGTTCTCAACGTGACACTGTCCATCAGTAACTGACACAGCACCAATGCTTGAGCACAGGCGTTTATTTAAACGAGAGCTGTACAGCTATGGAAAGCCATGTTTCATGAAATTTTGTCCTGATTAGATGAGGGAGGGACAAGATGGTTAACGAGAGGCGGGTGGCTCAGAATGTGAGAAAACAAAGAATTGCTCATATTAAACATACAAAAAAACTAAAAGGGTAACACAGGTGACCCCTGAACACCGCGAGGGTTTAGAGCACCAATGCCAGCGCAGTCAAAAACCCACTTACAACTGTTGCCTCCCCCAAGTCTCAACTGTAGTTGGTCCCGAGCACTTATGGATTCAGCCAATGGCAGATGGAAAACCGTATTTTTTTTATCCTGAGTTTAGAAATGTAAAGAAAAAAAAAGAAAAGAAATCATTTTCAATTTTGGGTTACTTAAAGTAGCAGTTGAGAAATCCAAGGATACCTAAGGGCCAACAGTATTTACCGAAAAAAATTCCAAGTGTAAGTGACCCTGCGCCATTCAAATCCATGTTGCTCAAGGCTCCACTCTACACTGAGATGATGTTAATTTGATACAGTGAGATTATCATCACTCCTTACTTGCATTTTTCTTTTTTTTATGTAAATTATTTTGCAATGGGAAAACAGAAATAGACTACAGCTTTCAGGTTAAAAGTTCCATTGCAGCAGAAGGGGTAGTTACATGACAGGAAGGACAGTCTCTGCAGGAGCCCAAGTCCCACACAGAACAGGTCATGGGACACAGCAGGCACAGGGAAGGAAGCCAGCCCTTCTTGCCCTGCCCTGGCCTGGCCAGTGGAGGCAGGGAGGAGCCCAGGACACCCTTCCCTTCCTTTCCTCCTCACACCAGCTCTCCGGGAAAGTCTGTGCCAGACTCAGAGCTCACTGCTCTGGCTGAGTCATGGCATCCCAGGCTCTGCTGCCCACCCTGCTGCTCTGTGTGCTGCTGCTGCAAGCCCAGGGAGGGCCACATCGTCGTCGGAACAGGATGCAGAGTAGGTGACGAGCTGGGGGACAGGCATGGGGAGGGGGGATGAGAAGCTGTGTCCAGCTAAGGAGGACCTGGGAATCAGAACCTTTCGGCACCTCCTGCTCCAACCTCAGCACTGTGAAGACTCCAGGTCTTTCCAAACCATGGTCCTCCAGCCTCTTCACCCGGCCCTGGGACCAGCAATGGGGGTGGAGGGCAGCCTACATTTTCCCATTCTCCATTCCCCAAATCCAGAGACATACGGTACACACCTGGGTGACAGGTGCACAGAGCTGAGCATCAGACAGGAAGGCACAACGGTTCTTTGGTGTATGCACACCTGTGGCAGGTCAGCGTCCTGAGATGTTTGTGGGAGTAATACTGGGGTATAAATGTTCACATTAAAGTTATTATCAGAGGATGAGGATGATGACAGTGGAAGGGAAATATTGTAAGTGTTACTTTGTGGGAAGGGGCGGGGATACTACAGACAGTGAAAAGAGGAGAGAGAGCGGGGACAGGCAAGTTCATCTTCTCTGGACCCTGCACATTATGGAAAATGGGGGAGGGTTTGCAGGTGTCTCAGACATCACCGAGGTCTCGGAGTCAGAGCGTAGATTGTACGGGGGTGACTTCACCAAGGCCAGGAGTAAGATGAGAGAGAGGCCTGGCTGCAGGAGTAAGAAGAGTGTCCAGGGTGCCCAGGCACGGAGCTCCATCGATAGAGAATGGGGGTAACAGGTTGAAGACACAACCAATCGCCAGGACGGGTGAGGGGTCGAAAGTGAGGTCCCGAAGAGTCCCCGAGTGCCACGAGTGAGCCGGGGTTCTGCGGTCGTGAGGAGTGCACCATGCAGCCTGGTTCCGTGACCCCACTCCTGCTCAGTTTCAGATACACAGCCATCCACAGAAATCAAGGAGTGTGAGAAGAGAATCCAGGTACATTTGTGCAGACGCCCCTGTAAACATCAAGGAGAATGTCAAGCAAATAACATATGCTGTCTGAGCTTCTGTGGAAGCATTTGCATGAACGTGCTCTGAGCGGGAGTGGGCTGGGCTGTGCTCGGTGCACCTCTAGCCCTCCACTGAAGACTGAACCAAAAGAACAAGGACCTCAGGTCCCAGGCACAGGGCTCTCAGCAGCAGTGCCATTCTCGCCCCTGTGTGGATGCCTCGTTTCTGTCCAATAAACCAGAACAAATCCTGGGGACCTAGCTATTTTCCTCGCAGCATGTGTGCTTATTCAGAAACCAGGGCAGAGCCCAGCGTGCCCCGCCTCTGTCTCCCCTTGTCATGCTTCTCTGCTCCCTCCCCCTTTGGCCCACACACCCCTGCCAGGCCCCTGGAGGCTCAGCCCCCTTCTTGCTCTGCTCGCTGAACCAGCGCTCCCAGAGGGAAGAACTGTCCGTGTGCGCCGTCCCCCAGTGCTAACGAGAACATCCTTGCCCTGAGTCTGAAGGGCCAAGTGAACCATGAGATGGGGGGTGATACACCCCAGGGCATACAGTAGGAGCCCCCAAGGAGGCCTCTTCTTTTTTTCTTAATCCTCAGCTGAGAACATGTTTCTACTGATTTTAGAGAGATGGGAAGGGGGTGGAGAGAGAGAGACAGTGATGTGAGAAACACTGATTGCTACTTGTGTGCACCTTGCCCAGGGATCAAAACCACAAGTTAGGTAGGTGCTCTGACCGGGAATTGAACCCACAACCTTTTGGTGCTTAGGACAATGCTCCAACCAACCAAGCTACCCAGCCAGGGCAAGGAGGCCCTTCTTAAACTTGACCCACACCTGTTTCTTACTCTCCATTCTGCTTGTAAAGTTCAGATAACAGTCTCTTTCTCCAGAAGGAAATGAATCCCAGGAAGTTAAGTGCCTTGCCCAAGGCCAGGGAGAGGGAGGGGCCCCTCACACCCTGGCTGGCAGAGGGCACTGGCCTCCCCGTGTGCTCACTGCTTTTCTGCTGTGGGGAGACCACAGGCATAGAAGTGAGTGTCTGTGCCCACCCAGCTCCCCCACTGCAGCCTCTGTCAGGATGGCCACTCTCACCATGCGGCCTGGGACATGGTGCCAGGACCTCAGACTCCAGTGCCTTCCTGTGACAGAGTGCTCCCCACCTTTCCCGGGTCCCCCTCCTTATGGCCTCTGTTTTTAATCCAGAGGAGAGTCACAGGGTGGGGGGACAGGTGAGCCATTCTGAGGCTGCTAAGAATTAGCGGGCACAGGATGGCTATGAGTCTTGTCTGTGGCCTCATGGTGAGTCAGTGAGAATTAATCTCTGGGGTCCAGGTCCCCTATCTGTGTAACCAAGTGCCTCTGAAATGGTCCTGGGGCGAGACCAGGGACTGAGTCACATGTGGCCACTTGGGTCATGGAGTCAAGTGTGGAGGCTGCAGACAGGCAGGCCCTGCTGCAGGCAGGTGCACAGTGTGACTCTGCAGTCCAGGGCTTCCTGGGCACCAGTGCAGGAGACCTTGGAGGAGGACATCTGCCTCCATCAGGGCAGAGCCTCCAGCCCAGCTCAGCAGGGTAAGAAGAGCAGGGACACACCTGGGAGACCTTGACTCTCTCGGAAGCAGAACAAGTAAATGTACATTCTGCCACGATCTGGGTCTCCACAACATCAAATCTTTGCCTGGGGAAGACTTAGTCTAACAGTCACCACAGGTTTTACATTATTTGTTCCCTCCTCACTCTCCAGACCTGCTCTTTCCTTATGTCAATTCACATGGGAGTATTCTAGAAGTATCTCTCATTTCATACAGCATGATGCTGGTCAACTCCTGCCTCGTTTCCATCCTTGGATGTCCCCAGTGCTCCCAGGTGGGTCCATACTAATGCCTTCAGCAGCAAAGTGTGTCCCACCCACACCTAGTAGTTGTCTGTGGCATAACAAACTCAGGATGCCTAATTAAGAAGCCACTGGAAGTTTCTGGAATGCAAGGGTTGGGTTAAAGTGATGAATGCAATGTCTACCACCAAGACATGCAGTTCGGACCCCCACAATTTGGAATGGGCATGACATGAAGGATTCATGGAAGGCTCTAGCCAAAGGAAGTTATTCCTAAATTTAAAATTCTACTATTAAAATGACATTCTCTAAGAGCATACCCATCAGGTAATGTAGAGTCCTAGGTGGGAAGAGCTCACTTCCTGAAAACGGTTAGGGATAGGCTGTGAGAAGGTAGAAGTGAGACTCTGAGTCAGAGGGCACCAAACGTCTGATCTCCAAGACTCTTCTGGGCCATTGTTGCTGGGCCTATGGTCGTCCTTTTTTATGTTGCTTCAGGTTTTCCTTTATTTACAGAAAGTTTACTTGAATTATCATTTTTAACATTAGTTGCTTTTCTTTTTTGAAAAATTCCAGTTACTATATATTTAAATTTTCTTTGCCCATCTTCTTTATTAATCTTTTTCTTTCTTATGGTTTTTACTTTTTGTATTATATTTGTAGTCTCCTGGCTTTTTTTTTTAAAGATTTTATTTACTTATCTTTAGAGGGGAAGGGAAGGAGTGAGGAAGAGAAATATCAGTGTGTGGTTGCCTCTCATGGAAACTGGCCTACAACCCAGGCACGTGCCCTGACTGCGAATTGGACCACGATCCCTTAGTTCACAGGCCCATGCTCAACTCACTAAGCTACACCAGCCAGGGCAATCCCCTGGCTTTTTTCATTCTTTTTTGCAATGCCTCTTATAGTTCAGTTGAATTTATTGTCTTGGGGATCTTGTCACAATCTTTATTTATAAGATGGCTTTTACCCCTTTCTTCAATGTCTTGTGTTCTGTTAATCCCTTACTTCTTATCTTCCTGGGGTAGGATGAGGGTTAACATGTATTTTATTTTCATTAGAGAGGGAGAAACATCAATGCAAGAGAAACACCCATTGGCTGCCTCCTGCACACGCCCCGTCCAGGGACCAAACCCACAACCTGGGCATGTGTCCTGACCAGGAATGGAACCGGTGACCTTTTGGTTAGGGGACAATGCTGAACCAACTGAGCCATGCTAGCCAGGGCCCGGGTTTTCTTGTTTTGGTTTTGGTTCTTGTCTACTTATGTGCTAAGTTCTAAAATGTCTGGTACAAGGTACTTTTCATATGTCAGAATCCTTGTTTACAGATAATTAAAAAGTTGCAGTGTTGTATTAGCTTCTGGGGAGAATTTTTCAACAGAAATATTTCGATTTTCATTTGTCCTTGTCCTTAATAGTAGTGTTATGTTGAAGTTGCCTGCTAGTTTTCCATTAACTTTGTAACAATATATTTTAATAGACCAGCAATAACATTTTATGCTCAAACCGTTCTCAGCTGTGTCACTGGGAGCTCCTTCAGATTGGTTCCCATTTCTCAATATTTTAAATTTTGAGAATTTCCCTACTTTCTGACACTCAAAGATGCCCCAGTCTCATCTTGTATATTTGAAGCCTAGTTCTAGAATCAGCCATCGCTCTAAGGAGTTTTGACTCATTAATTGGAAAATGGTATTTAGAACCCAAGATCTGGGCTCTTGGTGTGCTTATTTGTACTGTACTATCACTGCTTCTAAGACTTTTCAGCAGGCATAGCTAGGAAATATAGGCATGAAGAACTAATCTATGTGTACACAGGTACCTATAATTATTCCTTCGTCTGCCTAGCTATATGTGGATTAATCTGAACTCAAGTTTATATTGATGTCTCTGAGTACCCCAGAGCTCATTCTAACATTCTCCCTTTGCTTGTTGTAAAACTACTCTTCTCAGACAGTTAGAAACCTGGTGCCTATCATATACCAGTCATTTATTTGTTCAACCTTATGTATATATAAAGTACCCCAGAGCTCATTCTAACATTCTCCCTTTGCTTGTTGTAAAACTACTCTTCTCAGACAGTTAGAAACCTGGTGCCTATCATATACCAGTCATTTATTTGTTCAACCTTATGTATATATAAAGTCATTTTAGAATTGTTGACCCTTACCCTGTGAGAAACTGATTTACCAGAGACCTGCTCTCTGAAAAACTGAATTAAAGGGCTGCTGGCCAATTACTTACGTTAAAATGTCACATGAGAAGTAAATTCTATTCTGTGAAACCCACGAGACTAGGCTATCGGTTATAAGGTAATCAGATGGGGAAGTGTTGGAAGCTTTTATGTACACTGTAGGATAAGAATCATTTTGGGCATCATAATAAGGTAATCAGGGGTGGTAAAATGGAATAGAAAAAGCCAAGGCCATTGTTGGTAAGTGAGTTTATTTGTCAAGGTCTTCCTCCTACCCAGCCCTCAGTGAGAACTGACTGGTGTCCCAAGTATGAGGATGTGGTTTTAGCTATCTTTCATAGACTATCTGCAAGAAAGAAAGGTTAGACATTAAGTGGCTAGGGAACTCTGAGAAACAAGCACTCATTCCCAAGCTTAATACTGCCTATCCCAGCAGACCGTGGGACAGGTATTCTTCACATAGCAATAGAATTGCCCACTTCTGAGTGGGTAGCAGGAGTCGTATTTGTTGCTGGAACACAGAAAAGTGGAAATTCAGGGCCTAGCTGAGCCAAAAGGGCTCATGAAGTCCATCAATGGTTAGAAATCTGGATGAAAATTAGGAAAAGGGCAAACTGTGGAGTAATCTAATGAGGACAGTACGGGCGTTAATGATATAATTATTAGAAGCAGTGCGTCCCAACCTGATGTCTTGGCTTATTTGCCAGTGAATTGCTTTTCAGGTTTAGGGAATATTGTCTTCTGCTATTTTTGTGCCTAGGATTTGGGGTACATTGGTCCTCAGTTTAGGAGTAACAGCAGCTGAGGGGAGAGCGAGAGCCCATGACGGCACAGCCGAGCAGACATCTCCCAACTCACTGTAGCTTTCCAGCAGATGTTTCCACAGTAGCTCCAACAGCACGTGTAATTTACACTTGCACACTTAAACGACTTAGAACACTTCCTGGTACATTCAGCGATGTTTGGATTTCCCCAGCACTCCTCAATGAGTATTTTATCCCCTGCAATTAAGGTGAAACTGTAGGAGGTAAAGAAGCACAGGAAGAGAAGCCCTTCCCAGGCTTAACAACCCTTTCCAGGAATTCAAGGCCAAGTCCCCAGCAAGGTGTCTATCTGTCTTGTAAGAAAACCCCTTCCTCAGCCTCTTTATTGCATTTTCACGGTTACATTTGCCTTCTCTGATCCTGCAGGTCTTACCTGTGTTGCTGATCTCGGGGCCCTCTTTGAGCATCCTAGAGATAGGACTCAGTGCATTCTAGCCCTCATGTGCCCTCCTCTAAACTCTGCGTTTATATAACAGGACATCTCATATCCTGAGATACCCTTTAGCCTCATTACCATGCTCAAGTTATAGTGTGGGAAGCTAGACCAGGAAACCTAAAAAGCAGATGTCCTCCCCTTTTTTTCTTCTTGCTGGCCATGCCTTTCAAAACCCAGCCTCTCTTCAAAATCTTCGCTCTCACTCAATTTTTTTGCCCCCGCCCCCCATTGATTGCTTTTTCTTATTGTATGGTCCCCAACTCTGCCCCACGAAGGACTCATTTCATGTCTATTTTCTATATTTTCACATTCTGAAAGACCCTACCACTAAAACAAAGGGGATATACTAAATACTCATTTGGAACTCATCAAAGGACACAGAGCTTCTGGAAGCCTGGGAAGATACAGCAGCTCTGTATTGGTGCCCCCCACCCAGAGATAGCCTGGCATAGGGAAACAGTACATCCTTATAAACTGTGGAGTGTGTATAAAAGTGGATGGACATTCAATGCCACTGTCAAGTTTGGAAGAGGAAGCATTAAAGGACCTCAGGCTGGGAATTTCTTATCTCTCTGTGCCTACAAAGATTGTGATTCTCTAACAGATGATCCAGGACAGGTGGGACCTGAATCAGATGTGCCCGACACCACAGCACCCCTTTACTTGTCTGTAAACAAGCATGGCAACCCCCACCCTTTGTTTCCGACCCAGCCTCGTCACCTATGCCCGGTCTTTCCTTAATTTCTGCCAGCACGGACAGCGGCACCACACACAGGAATGTTGTGAGGAGAGTTGTCCAGAGCTTCATGGTGCTGACCACGTGTCTGAACATATATTGTCAGGATATTTTCCTTCCCTGTTGGTGCTAGAGACCAAGAGATATAAATAGAGTCGTAAAGCAAGAGGACGTGCTTATAGGATTTCTTTAACTTCTAATCATTCCTCCTTATCTTCTACCCACCTGACAACAGGCACACACCTCAGCTGAACACTGCTAAAATGTCATCTTGCACTCTGGGTCTTCTTCGTGCAGAAATAATATATATTTAGAAGTGGGTTGCCTTCCCTTGAGCAAACGATCATTCAAATTCAGCATGCAGCCCTGACATGCTGGATGTGTGTGGCTCCGTGTGGCTCAGTGGACTGAGTGCCAGCCTGTGAACCATGGGGTCACCGGTTTGATTCCCAGTCAGGGCACATGCCTGAGTTGTGGATCAGGTCCCCAGTAGGGGTCATGAGAGAGTCAACCGCACATTGATGTTTCTCTCCCCCTCTTTCTCCCACACTTCCCCTCTGTCTAAAAAATAAATAAATAAATAAATAATTTTTAAAAATTGTGCGTGTAAAATTCTTAAAACACTAAAAAAGTACAAAGAAGACAATGAAGATGGAGAAGTAGGTGGAGGGTCCACCTCGCCTCTGTGCACAACCAAATCTAAGAACAACTATTTTTAACAGCAGTCACAACCAAGCCACACGGAAAATCGACAATACGGAGTCCAAAGGACAACTAGATACTCGGCTGGACCGGTACGAGGAGCGAGGCCAGAAGCAGAGCAGGTTAGCAAGAAAAAATTCCCGGGGCGGTGCGCGGGGCGCGCAGGCAACCAAGGGCTGATCGCCAGCGAGCTGGCTGCCGGAGCGCACAGGGAATAGGCTCGGTGGGTCGCTCAGTCGCGCGCATTTACGTGCGGAGAAACCAGTGAGAAGGGAAACGCGCGGTGCAGCAGGCTCGCAAAATTAGGATCGGATAAGCAAGCCCGAGGCGTTTGAGTCACTGGATGCGCTGGGCTAGCGGAGAGGAACGCCATTGCTCCCTCTCTGACCCCGCCCCCACACACAGCGTCACAAACCAGCGACCTGGGTCGCCCCGTCCTGGTAAACAACTAAGGCTTCGCTCCGCTCACTTAACAGTGCGAACAGACCAAAAATGGCTCTAGGACAACTCAGAGCCCCAGAACCGATAGACCTAAGTGATGAAGAAATAGCCAGTCTTTCAGATGCACAGTTCAAAACACTGGTTATAAAGATCCTTACAGAACTGGTGGATTTTAGTCACAAATTAGAGAAACATATGGAAGCTAAATTAATTGAAATGAATGCTGATACAAAAGATACCAATAGTGATGGAAAGAAAATTGGGACTCAAATCAAGGGAGAGGACCAGACAGAAGAAAAAGATGATCAAGCAGAAAGGAATGAAGAAATAAGAATTCAGAAAAATGAGGAGAGGCTTGGGAAACTCCAGGACATCTTTAAACGTTCCAACATCCGAATTATAGGGGTACCAGAAGGGGAAAAGGCACAACCACCAGTTGAAAAATTATTTGAACAAATAATAAAGGAGAATTTCCCCAAGATGGCAAAGGAAATAGACTTCCGAGAGATCCAGGAAGCTCGGAGAGTCCCGAGGAAGTTGGACCCGGGAAGGAACACACCAAGGCACATCATAATTACATTAGCCAAGATTAAAATGAAGGAGAGAATCCTAGAAGCAGCAAGAGCTAAGGGGACAGTCACCTACAAAGGAGTTCCCATCAGACTGTCAGCTGATTTCTCAAAAGAGACCTTACAGGCAAGAAGGGGCTGGACAGAGGTATTCCAAGTCATGAAAACCAAAGATCTACAACCAAGATTGCTCTACCCAGCAAAACTTTCATTTAGAATGGAAGGACAGATAAAGTGCTTCTCAGATAAGGTCAAATTCAAGGAGTTCATCATCACCAAGCCCTTACTATATGAAATGTTAAAGGGACTTACCTAAGAAAAAGAAGATAAAAAAGATGAACAGTGAAAGGACAGCAAACTCACAGTTATTAAGAACCACACCTAAAACAAAAGCAAACTAAGAGGATAGCTAGATCAGGAGCAGAACCATAGAAATGAAGATCACAAGGAGGGTTAGCAACAGGGGAGTGGGAGGAGGGGAAGGGGGGAGAAGGTACAGAAAATAAGTAGTATAGACAGTAGATAGAAAATAGATAGGGGGGAGGGTAAGAATAGCAGGGGAAATACAGAATCTAAAGAATTTGAGACACATGTTCATGAACTAAAGGGGGAAATGGTGGGGGAGGGGTATGCAGGGTGGAGGGGAAGGGAGGGGGGAATAGAGCAAATGTAATGGCATAATCAATTAAAAAAAAAAGTAAAAAAAAAAAGTAAAAAAAAAAAAAAAGAAGACAATGAGATTATTTTCAGTAATCCTCTCTACTAATATATATTATTCTGTCTTTTATATGTGCATATATATATATATATATAAATGAATTGTTTTATAAAACAAAAATCATATCAGGTTTGCTGTTATACATCTTGACTTGTATTTAAAGTTTTATAACATGATATTAAAATGAAAGTTTTGGCCAGGCCTGTAAGACATATCAACTTGTAGGGCTTTTAAAAAGAGAGAGGAAAAGATGGCCAAAAAGTGGTCAAGGAACGCTTAAAACCTTACTTGTTCGAAAGGTTGAAAATGGTTAGGAATTTGACATGATTTTTGGAGGAGATCTTCGAGCCAACTGCAGGAGAGGAAACTGAGCACTTCCTACCCCAACTGCATGAATCCAAGCTTAGTGTTTTGACTATTGCACGGACTTAGACTTTTTTGTACGTTCTCAATTTAGGCAGTGTCTATCAAAGCCAAGTTCTACACCCCAGCTCTCATATAGCGGCAGGCAAAGAAGTAGCTCTTCTAAGTTTAAATGAGACAAAGGACAAGTCTCCCATGAATGTTAGTTGTGCATATGATTAATATTTTCCCATTAATCATAAGACACCTGAAAATTTGTAATTTCTCTTCCCAGGAGGAAAAAAATAAATGTCATTGGGAACTGTCTTACAATTCAAATTTGGTTAAATGCATTACTAGCTTCAGAGCTCAACTTTGTCAGTCTGGAAGTCTCAAGTAAAGGTTGCTGCCTATCTCAAACCCTAGAGAACTGTTGCCAGTTTCTTTTCTCCATTAAGGTTGATTTATTCTACCAACAGGGTATACATCTTATCCAAGAGGGAGAGTTTCTCCCACTTATTCCCACACTAAAGGCTGGCAGTGCGGTATATGACAAAGAGCAAAACACAACACTGAAGTTGGAGAAACCCCAACACATTAGCTTCACCTAAGTTACATGATTGGCCAGACACCCACCATAACTCCTCAGAGCCTTAGTTTTCCCCCTCTGTAATACGGGGGTGATATTAGCAACCCAATTGCAGATGTCAAATATATGAAGCACTGAGTATATGACTTGGCACACAGAATAGGCAAAATAATGTTGGCTGTTACCACTACTAAGCTCAGACTCTCTTCTTCTCCAGAAGAATGAAAGTTATTTAATTTCATTGACTTCGTTGTGGTCTTTCTTTGAACTGTTTAATCCATTTAGAATTAATTCTGATGAATGGGTGAGGTTCTATTCTTCATTCTTCTGTTCTAAATGCATTTGTCCCACAAATATTCCTATTAAGTGACTACTATGAGTCAGACATTATTCTAAATACTGAGAATACGGTAATGAATAAAGCCAGCAAATCCCCCACCTTCATAAACCTTATATTCTAGTAAAGGGACACCTGACAAACAGCATATATAAAAGAAATGTGCAATAATAGATGGACATAACTATGAAGGAGAAAAAATAAGAGAGGGTTTAGGATCTGGGACAATATGCAAAATAATTGGTGGCTCTCATTTTAGGCAGCTCACTGGTGGTGAGAGTTGGCTTTCTAGAAAGAGGAGGTTAGGTACCGTCCAGAAAAATCCCTTTCCCCAGTCCTCTCTCCCCCCTAAGCTGGTGCTTCATGTGGCCAAGCCAAACAGAGAGAAAGGAAAGAAGCAAAGACAAAGAAGTCTGGGCACTACAAATAATACAGTCACAGCTCAGTAACTGTCTCTCTCCCTGCAAGTGACCAATTTTCTTCCAAGGTCTTTGTTTTTGCTTTGATGTCTTCAGCCAAGCTGAAGATAACCTACATGCATTGGTTGAAATTCCCCAAATGCTTGAAAGCAGGCATGACACCTACAGACATTTTAAACAGTGCAAAACTTATTTTCCCCTTGGCATATGTGAAAAAATAAAATATGACCATAAAATTGGAGGCCCATGGACCTTTAGATGGGCTGCCTTTAACTTTTAAAAAAATTATCGTTTGGAAATCATTTCAAAGCTACAAGAGTAAGAGCAATACAAAGAGCGTCTGAATACTATTTGCTCAGATTCACCTAGTTTAAGAATTTACACATACACACATACCACATATAGTACACATACACATGTAAACACATATATGTATTCTACACCATTTGAGAGTCTCATGTATCTTGACCCTGATTTAAAAATAATTCTTCTGTGAGTGTTAACAAAAGGGACATTCTTGTACGTGATCATGGTGCAACTATCAACTTCCTTAAATTTAACATTAGTAAAATATGTTTCTACTTTACCATCAGTATTCCATTTTATAAATTCAGTGAATAAAGTCTTTTGTCTGTTGTTACACTGAAATTTCTGAGTGCTCCAAATACAAAGACAGCAGCCAATCTTTTCTTCTGATTCAACATTCCTTATGTTGGGTTTGTCTGAAACATCTTCATGATTAGACTCAGGTTAAGTATTGTCAGTGGAAATGCTATGTAGACAATACCCAGTGTCCTTCTCAGGGTATCCCATATGAAGGGACATGTGTCTGTCCATGGCATCTTTCTGCCTCAGTTTCTCCATCTGAATAACAAGGACAATAATGTCTTCGGTAGAGAATTAGTGTTGGCATGACCTGGGCACCTGATTTGAACAGAGCGCTCATCCAGGGCACCACCAATGAAAGGGTGTGCAGCCTCGCACATACAGCCCCAAGGCCCTGATACCCACCTACCTCTGAAGGTGTTCAGGTCAGAAGTGCTGGTGATTGTTTCACTGTCAGTTCCTCTTCCCAGGCTCTGTGCAGGGGGCAGATTGCGAGCAGAACAGATTTCAAAGACTTGGAATGTAGTTAGGGTTCAGGTTGTGGCAGACCAGTGAGTTCTGCCCCAGGCCATCAGTTAGTTGGGTGTGTACAGATTGTCACTGAATTCCTCTTCAAGAAATACTGCCTTTTTTTCCTGCAGGTAATAAATATAGTTAGACACAGGGCCCTGTAGGATGGCAGGAGCTTCCCCGCCCCTGCCATGCGCATTTCCTGGAAGTCTGGGTGATTGTGGAGGTGGGGGAGGATCTATTTTTCTCCAACATTTGTGCAATGACTTTTATAAATTCCTATACGTCTCCATATTAATTTCTCCACTGCTAGCATTACACTACCCATCATCAACGTCTCGTGGCCTTTGTGAGGATGAAAAGAGAGAGCTCTTCTTCCATGAGAGCTTGGAAAGGCCACACAATGTGGAGATTTAAAACTCAAATCGGCCCTGGCTGGTGTAGCTCAGTGGATTGAGCACGGGCCTGTGAACCAGACAATCGCGGTTCGATTCCCAGTCAGGACACATGCCAGGGTTGCAGACAGGTTCCCTGCAGGCCAGTTCCCAGCAGGGGACGCACGAAAGGCAACCATACATTGATGTTTCTCTCCCTCTCTCCTTCCCTTCCCCTCTAAAGATAAATAAATAAAATCTTTAAAAAAAAAAAAAAAGATGTGCGTTTAAAAAAAAAAAACTCAAATCGGACCTCCCACTTACTCTGGGCAAGTGTCTGATCCTCCCTGTGCCTCAATTTGCTCCTTTGTAAAGCCAGTGTCTGGCATATAGGCAGCACTGTGTAAGGTCTATTAAATAAACAAATGACACATCCAATGAAGTGTCAAGAGTCACCCAGTTTAAACCACATTTACATGTATTAACTAATGCTCTCAATGACCCTATGAGTTTAGTACTACTATTATTCCCATTTTACAGTTGCAGGAACTGAGGCAGAGGAAAGTCAAGTAACGTGCTCAAGACACACAGAGCTGACCAGTGCCAACTACAGAATGTCAAAAGACATGAGTCCAGAGCAACATATGCCAGATGGTGAAGCCTGCAGCCCCTCTTTGGCACTGGGAGGTATGATACTCCTTGGGCCCATTTCCCATCATCAAGATCACTATCTCCAGGTGCCCTTACAATACTAGCAGAGAAGCATCATGGGAATGGGAACTCCAGAGACCAAGTTCTCTGAAACTCATTTTAATCCCATATAAGAATGGGAATAATAATAGAGCTCATTCCATCAGGTACTTTAAGAACTAAAGGATGGATGTGTTTTCTTTTTAAATATTTTTTTTTAGAGAGAGGGGATGAGAAGGAGAAAAAGAAGCAGAGAAACATCAGTGTGTGGTTGCTTCTCACATGGCCCCCACTGGGGACTTGGCCCACAACCTAGGCTTATGCCATGACTGGGAATCTAATCGCAACCCTTTGATTCACAGCCTGCACTCAATCCACTGAGCTACACCAGCCAGGGCAGATGTATTTTCTTAAAAGGTAGTTCTGCCCTGGCTGGTGTAGCTCAGTGGATTGAGCGTGGGCCTGTGAACCAAACAAAAGGTAGTTCTGTTTTTCTTCTTCAGCCACAGAAGCTGCCAACCTGCACTTGAAGATTAACTCATCCCTTCTGGGTCCCACTCAAAACTAGTGCTCAGTTTACATTCCCTCAGGAAACAGACAAGAGGAGGATGTCCAAGAGTGAACTTTGTTCTCTCCAATTCCAGAAAGTCCCATCAAGCATTGTGTCTTTTCTCACAGTGGGCAGTGCAAGGAGCAGTAACTCGTCTGCTGCCTCGGAGGAACTATCCCTGTGTGCTGCAGACCACTGACTCTCTGGAAATCTCACCAACAGGGCAAGTCCTGCACTCGTATCAGGTGTGTCTCTCATCCTCTTGCATGCACATGATAAAGCACCTAGGATATCTGCTATTTTTGTTCCCTAGCGCCAGTTGGCATGATGTTATCAGTGCGATGGGCAGGCATGATGTTGGGAGGAGAATCAAGAGGTTAAGTTTCTTCAGCCTCTGTCATGACAAAGGGCTAAGAAATGACAGTACTGAGTTAAGACAGTGAAGGTCTGTTGTGAGTTAACACCTATAAGAAAGCTACTTTGATGACCTTGGTTGACAGGTACAAAGGGAAAGACTTTTCTAGGAGCGGGTCAGGAGCATGAAGAGAGACACAAACATGAGGCTGTGTGTTTGGTGGCGAACTGTCCAGCTCTGATCTGAGAGCTCTGCTGGGACTTGACATTGTGGAGACCCAGATTGTGGCAGAACGTGCATTTGCTTCTTCTTCTGCTTTCATGAGATTCAAAGTCCCCCAGGCATTCCTGCTCCTCTACCCTGCTGAACACAGAGGCACACCACTGCTCCAAGGAGACAGAACAGGCAGTGAGGTCCAGGCGAGCACTAGTGTTCACAGTGAGGCTGAGACAGTGTTCCCAGCCACAGTATTCCAGGTGTGGTCTCTGAGTTCTGTGGAACAGGGTACACTGTCCAGAGAACACAGGTCAGGACACCAGTTATCACAAGGAAGAAGAACAACAGTTCTCAACACAATTCGTGACCTACAATGCTCATGCCAGGAGCAAGGAATAGGTCAGCCTGGCAGCCACAGTACACCCACGTGGCAGAGAGCATTGGACTTGGACATGGGAGGTCATCCCCTCCCTATGTGGGCCCTTGCAGGTCACCTTACTTCTCTTAATAGTCTCTCCTAGGATGTTCGAGGCATGGCCGAGCCCAGGAAGATGCTTGGACAGTGAGGTTATCTGAGGAAGAACCAATAGGAACTTCTACAGGGCATCTCTTACCACTTACACACCTCTGGCAATGTCTGTGATGGTGGTTGGTCATGACCTCTCTCCCAAGGCCCCCTTGTCCAAGGGCAGCTCTCAGTACATACAGGCAGAGAAGATGCTCAGAATCAGGAGCCGTGGGATGCCTCTGAGCTGGGCAGGAGGCTCTGGCCTGATGGAGGCAGATGTCCTCCTCCAAGGTCTCCTGCACTGGTGCCCAGGAAGCCCTGGACTGCAGGGTCACACTGCACACCTGCCTGCAGCAGGGCCTGCCTGTCTGCAGCCTCCACACTTGACTCCATGACCCGAGTGGCCACATGTGATTCAGTCCCTGGTCTCACCCCAGGACCATCTCAGAGGCACTTGGTTACACAGATGGGGGACCTGGACCCCAGGGATTAATTCTCACTGACTCACCATGAGGCCACAGACAAGACTCATAGCCATCCTGTGCCCGCTAATTCTTAGCAGCCTCAAAATGGCTCACCTGTCCCCCCACCCTGTGACTCTCCTCTGGATTAAAAACAGAGAGGCCATAAGGAGGGGGACCCAGGAAAGGTGGGGAGCACTCTGTCACAGGAAGGCACTGGAGTCTGAGGTCCTGGCACCATGTCCCAGGCCGCATGGTGAGAGTGGCCATCCTGACAGAGGCTGCAGTGGGGGAGCTGGGTGGGCACAGACACTCACTTCTATGCCTGTGGTCTCCCCACAGCAGAAAAGCAGTGAGCACACGGGGAGGCCAGTGCCCTCTGCCAGCCAGGGTGTGAGGGGCCCCTCCCTCTCCCTGGCCTTGGGCAAGGCACTTAACTTCCTGGGATTCATTTCCTTCTGGAGAAAGAGACTGTTATCTGAACTTTACAAGCAGAATGGAGAGTAGGGAACAGGTGTGGGTCAAGTTTAAGAAGGGCCTCCTTGCTCTGGCTGGGTAACTTGGTTGGTTGGAGCATTGTCCTAAGCACCAAAAGGTTGTGGGTTCAATTTCTGGTCAGAGCACCTACCTAACTTGTGGTTTCGATCCCTGGGCAAGGTGCACACAAGTAGCAATCAGTGTTTCTCACATCACTGTCTCTCTCTCTCCACCCCCTTCCCATCTCTCTAAAATCAGTAGAAACATGTTCTCAGCTGAGGATTAAGAAAAAAAGAAGAGGCCTCCTTGGGGGCTCCTACTGTATGCCCTGGGGTGTATCACCCCCCATCTCATGGTTCACTTGGCCCTTCAGACTCAGGGCAAGGATGTTCTCGTTAGCGCTGGGGGACGGCACACACGGACAGTTCTTCCCTCTGGGAGCGCTGGTTCAGTGAGCAGAGCAAGAAGGGGGCTGAGCCTCCAGGGGCCTGGCAGGGGTGTGTGAGCCAAAAGGGGAGAGAGCAGAGAAGCATGACAAGAGGAGACAGAGGCGGGGCACGCTGGGCTCTGCCCTGGTTTCTCAATAAGCACACGTGTTGCGAGGAAAATAGCCAGGTCCCCAGGCATTTGTTCTGGTTTATTGGACAGGAACAAGGTGTCCAGACAGTGTGGAGGTGGACACCCCTGTGTCCTGGATTTTAGGTCCTTGGGCTTCGGGCATAGGCACAGTCTTAAACAGACAGCTAGCGGGAGCAGGACACCCAGCCGAGCCCTCTCTCCCACTCACAGGAGGTGCATGCAAACGTTCCCGCAGAAGGTTGAACAGCATATGGTGTCTGATTTTTGACACTGTAGGAAATACGAGCAGTGGTCGTGGCACAGATCTATGCTGGGCCTCTTCTCACAGGCCCTGATACCTGAAAGGAGCAGGAGAAGGGCCGATGGAGGCAGGCCACACAAGGCACTTAGGTATCCTCATGACACCAGAACTCAGGCCCCACTCATGACACTCTGGGACTTTTCCGGGACCTCACTTTCAACCCCTGACCCATCCTGATGATTGGTTGTATCTTCAAACCATTACCCCCATTGTCTACCAGTAGAATTCAGAGCCTGGGCTCCCTGGACCCTCTTCTTACTCCCGCAGCCAGGCCCCTCTCTCATCTTGCTCCTGGACTTGGTGAAGTCACCCCTGTACAATTTATGCTCTGACTCCAAGACCTTGGTGAAGTCTGAGATGTGCTAAAATAAATTTGTGTTCCCATAAACATCTCAGGATGCTGACCTGCCACAGGTGTGCATACACCAAAGAACTGTTGTTGTGCCTTCCTGTCTGATCTCAGCTCTGTGCACCTGTCACCCGTGTGTGTACCGTATGTCTCTGGATTTGGGGAATGGAGAATGGGAAGATGTAGGCTGCCCTCCACCCCCATTGCTGGTCCCAGGGCCGGGTGAAGAGGCTGGAGGGCCATGGTTTGGGAGGATCCAGAGTCTTTATAGTGCTGGGGTCGGAGTAGAAGGTGCTAAAATGTTCCAGTTCCCAGGTCCTCCTTAGCTGGACACAGCTTCTCATCCCCCCTCCCCATGCCTGTCCCCCAGCCCGTCACCTACTCTGCATCCTGTTCCGACTACGTGGCCCTCCTTGGGCCTGCAGCAGCAGCACGCAGAGCAGCAGGGTGGGCAGCAGAGCCTGGGACGCCATGACTCAGCCAGAGAAGTGAGCTCTGAGTCTGGCACAGACTTTCCCGGAGAGCTGGTGTGAGGAGGGAAGGAAGGGAAGGGTGTCCTGGGCTCCTCCCTGCCTCCACTGGCCAGGCCAGGGCAGGGCAAGGAGGGCTGGCTTCCTCCCCTGTGCCTGTCACGTCCCACGGCCTGTTCTGTGTGGGACTTGGGCTTCTGCAGATATTGTCCTTCCTGTCACGTAACTACCCCTTCTGTTGCAAATAGAACTTTTGTCTTGAAAGCTATAATCTACTTCTGTTTTCTCATTGCAAAATCATTTACAGAAAAAAATGAGAGGAAAAACATTAAATATATGAAAATATATGGAAGCAAACTGAGCTCATCATTGGACAAATGGATAAAGAAGATGTGATATAACAAAATCAGTGTATCAGAATGGTAGCATGGTGGTACTTGGGGGTGAGGGGAGGTTTCTAAGAGAGCAGATCTCAAATGTTCTCACCCCACAAAAAAAAATGGTCTGATGGGATGGAGGTGTTAATGGCACCGTGTTGGTCAGCACTTTGCAATATTTGTGTTTTTCAAATTAACATGCAGTACACCTTAAATTTCCACAGTGTTATATGTCAATTACATTTTAATAAAGATGGAAAACTTAATGTCTGTATTATATATCTTATATATTACAAATAACACATATGTAATTTTCCAGCTTTATCAAGGTATAATTGAAATATATAAATATATCTTAATAAAGCTAAAAATATATATTATACCCTTATTTTCCAGATTTATTTATATGTTCATTGTAATAAATATATATTATATAATTAATTAGTACCAATGTATCAGAGAGAGAGACACTACAAGAAGATATGGAAAGAATGGTGCGTACAGTAATTATCTTAGAACTCAGAGGGAGGGCGCATCTGGGTATACCAGATGGTCTGGCCAGTTAATATAGGCCAGACTCTGTGTAGCCACATCACTGCTTTTACAATGGGCCCATGGGTAGAGCAGCCATGATGGCAAAGACCTAGGCTATACATCAGTATGTGCTCACAGGCGCTTCACGAAAAGTGAGGTGACACCTCACAGTGGCACAGACCAAGGTTGAGCCCTTGGTGTGGCACCAGCGCTCAGGGAGTGAATCAGCCACCTGATGCAAGGTTAGTCCATCAGACCCATTCCTCCTGGGAAAGGGAGTGACCTGCCTTGAGCAGGATAGACACACATTCTGGGAGTATGATTTGATGTTTCTGTCTGCAATCCTCAGCCAAGACGACTATGTGTATAGAGTATCTGATGTACTGACATAGGATTCCGTGAACTACCACTTCATGCCAATGGACAAATTTCACATCAGAAGAGGTGCTGTACTAGGTCCAAAATTATAAGATCCCATTGTACCACCCTAATAGTGCGTCACCCAGAATCTGTCAACTTGACACGGTTGTGGATTGGCCTGCTGAAGAAGCATGTGAATGTTCACTTTGAAGGTGACCCCTGCAAAGATGAATCACGTACCTTCTGGTTGGCAAATATAACACTTTGAACCAAAGGCCATTGTGTGCTGCAACGTCTCCAATAATTCTGGACACATGAGTCCAAAACCAAGGAACTCTGGGTAGCGATAGTCTACATCCCCACCAGGAATCTGTACATCCTATCCCTGCAGTATTAGCTTCTGTGCATTAAGAAAAACACACCCAGTTACAAAATTGCAAGAATTGAATAGACTCTTCTCCAAAGAAGATGTAGAAATAAGTGGTCAACCAGTACATGAAAACAGTCTTAACATTATTAGTTATTAGGAAAGTGAAAATCAAAACCATAGTTTGTGACAACCACTTTGTACCCACATGCATGGCTATAATCCATAAAAGGAAAATAATAAGTGTTGACAAGGAAGTGGAGAAATTCGAACCCTCATGCATCAGTGATTAAAACGTTGAGTCTCAACCACTGTGAAAACAGTTTGCAGTTTCCTCCAAAAGTCAAATGTGTAAAATTACACATCAATTTCACTCATAGGTATATACTCAAAAAAATGAAAATAAGTACTGAGAAAAATACTAGTACATAAATATTTGTACTGTGCTATTCACAATCACCAAAGTGTGGAAACAACCCAAATGCCCATCAGCAGGTAAGTGGATAATCAAATTGTAATACATACATACAATGGAGTACTGTTCAGGTATAGAAATGAATGAAGTACTGATACTACAACATGAATGAAGCTCAACAACTATGAAGATAACATTTCCACTTACCGTTTTGGCAAAAACTCAAAAGCATGACAACACATTTTGTTATGGGAAGCGTGCTCCCAAAGTTTGGGAGCAGTACAAACTCGTGTGACCTTTGTAGAGTAAAATCTGGAAATATCTATCAAAGTTGCATATGAATTTACCCTTTTAACTGACAATTACACTTTTAGAAATTAAGCCTGATGTTACACTGCAAACAATACAGAAAATGTGCACATTGTTCATTGCGGCAAATTTGTAATGGAAAAAGCTTGAAAACTACATGAATGCCCACAAATGGCAGATTGGCTGTGACTCAGGGGTGTGCCCATGGGGGCTTAGAGGGAGGCGTAGAGTGGGGGCATAGAGGGGGCATGGAGTGGGGGGGGTAGAGGGGAGCATAGAATGTAGCCACGAAGAAGGGGAATCAAGATGTATTGTCAAATGAAGACAACAAAGTGCAAATGAATATATTTGTGCAAGAAAAAGGGAATTAAGGATTCAAGTGACAGGTTATCTTTATTTCACACAAAAACTTCCAAAGAATTGATACAAACAGGGAGAGGCTGCTGAATAATAGCACATTCTATGAGATCCGTGTAAACTCGCTGCAAAACCAGGCAAGGGAAGTTACAGGCCTAGCTTCCTTGTGAGCGTGGATGTGAAGTCCCTTAAAGATGGAAAACCAAACCCAACAACACAAACACATGAATACGCAATGATCACAGTAGATTACTGCAGAAATGCAAGAATGGTTTAATGTTAGAATATCTGAAATGTAATTCAATACATTAACAGACTAAAGGAGGAAAAAATGCTACCTCAACATATGTAGAAAAAGCTATAGAAATAATTTCACGTAAATTAGTAAAAATGTTCTTGACATGTCAGAAATGAAAGAGAGCTTTCTATACTGGATGAAAGATGTTTATGAGAAGCCAAAAGCAGACATGATCCTAAAAGAGGAAACTTAAGTTTTCACTTTAAATCTGGTACCAGACAAAATAGACACTATTCCCACAGCTATGAAATACTGTACTGGGGCCCTGGCCTGCACAATGAGAAATGAAAATGGCACAAAGTTTGAGCAGGAAAAGTACAAGTTATTATCGGCTGATGCTGACTGACTACACACGAACACTGCAAAGCATGCACCAAACAATCATGATAAACAACGGTGGAATTTAGCAAGGAAACCAGTTACAGATACAAAAGTCCCTTCTCTAAATGCCCAGCAACAGAGGAATGGAGAAAGGAGTGATACACGTATACAATGGAATATTGCTCAGCCAGAAAAAAAGCATGAAATCTTGCCATCTATGACATCATGTATGGACCTTGAGAGAGTATTGTGCTGAGTACAGTAAGTCAGACAGAGAAGGACAAGTGCCATATGATTCCACTTATAGATAGCATCTAGGAAACCAAATAATCAAAGAGGACAGAAACAGTCTCAGGGGCACTAAGAACATTTTGATGGTTGCCAGATGGGAAGGGGTGGGGGTAAAAAAGATCAAGGGAAGAGATTAAGAAGTACAAATTGGTAGTTACAGAATAGTCATGGGGATGTAAAGTACAGCGTAAGGGATATAGTCAATAATATTGCGATAACTATGAATGGTTTCCAGTGGGTACTAGAGTAATCAGAGTGGTCACTTCAGGAGTTATATAAATGACCAATCACTGGTTGCACACCTGAAACTAATAAAATATTAGATTATCAAAAATGATTGAAAATTATCAAAAGTTATTTCTCTACAACAGCAACAAACAAAAAGAAATAACTGAAGGTTTACAGTACTATTTACAATAGCATTTGAAAATTCAAGCCTCTAGGAAGAAAAACGACAAAGACAGGGAAAACATAAAAATTTCATGAAAGAACATGAACAACACCTAGAAGGATGAGAGACACAACAAGGTCAAACTTAAGGGGATGAAAAGGGTGTAGATTTGAAAACGCTACCTGGCCCCAGGGTGGGCGTGTTTGGGAGGTGCTGGGATTTCTGCCAAGCCCTCCCCTGTCGTAATATACCGTGAAAAGCCAGTCACAGCGCCTCCACTTTTCTGTCCTTCCCTCCCTTCTGCCTTAAACTGCGCCTGCTCAAACCGGGCCGTGCTCTACCGGGGCGTACCACCCATCCCACCAGCCACATGAAGCCTGTGCTGCTTCTCCAGCTCCTACTGTCGATTCACCTAGCACCACAGCTGGTGCCTGGCAATCTCAAGCAACATGTTCTGAGTAGGTGCTGCGCCCGGGGCCCAGGGGAGGAAAGGAGCCTCTGGAGAGATGGGAGGATCTGAGGGCTGACTCATGGGCATGTCTCAGGAAACAAGACAATGTTATGTTCACGAGTCCAGATTTTATCACCAGTAAGATCTAGGTTTGAATCCCTGCTCTGTTGCTTATTGAGTGATCTCAGGCAAAGTGTCTCTGGGCCTCAGATTTTCTCTCTGTCGTGGATATAATGGTACTGGGCTAGTTGGGAGGAGGAAGCGAGATTATGCATGCATGGAGCAGTCTTACGGGACCACGGTAAACGCTCAGTAAGTATTAACTACCGTAAATGTTATCGGCCTCATCACCCAGCTTATTCTTGCTGCCCAGGTTCCTTCATGGATGCTTGAGCCCGCTCTTCAAGCATTAAAGCAAAGAGGACAATTAAGTTGGTGGAATTCAGGCTGGAACCTACATAATCTTGGGCTTGGCAGACATTTTGGAAAAAAGGAAAGTCTTGCATTTTATTTCACATTTAAAACATGCGGCACTACCCACACAATTACCAGGGATTAGCCACGTTGGGAGGGTGCGATCCATCTTAGCAGCCACTGTTGCCAAACTCAACCTAACAAGAATGCTGGGTAAGGGAATGTTAACCATGGCCTCTACCAAATGGGAAGTGAACTATTATTCATCACACCTGCACACATCTGTGGGGAGAATATTTCAGAATGTGGGGGGCTCAGGGCAGGGATGTGTGTGGTATCTCATGTGCCGAGGTAGGCAAAGTCCTGCTTTAGGGGTCTCGGGGAAGGCATGCAGGTTTGTAAGAGTGAAGGAGGCTAAGGAAGCTGCAAGAGAATGGGGGGACCTAGTACAGCATTAACTGGGGAATCAAGGACTAGCATTTGAGCAGAGGCACAAAGAGGCTTTCTGAAAGACTGGTAAGGGCTGTGCGATTGGAACTGGATACTGGAGAGGGTCAACCTTTCGGAGACCCTTGGCTCAGGGACTCCTTCTCCACACTGTTCCACTGAACCCCAAACTCCCCGAAGTGAGAACTAGCTCCAGTTTCTCGCTCTCATCCCAGGGAGCTGTAGGATGACAGGGATGCCCAGGGTGAGTCTGGGCGCTGGTCTCTGCCAGACTGTCAACAGCTTGGACCTGGGTTCTTTTTACCTCATCTCTGGTGCCATTGGCTGCTATAATTATAGCCCCAACTTTATTCATTTATCCTTTTGAGGTCACCTTTGATTTCCTACAGACCCCCCTTCTAATTGCAACAGGGGCTTATAGAATGCCCCACCTCGGACATTTGCCCCAGAGAAAGGGTAAATCACAAGGTACAAAATTTAAGGCCTGACTGGACTTGATTAAGTGATTAATGGGGCCTGTCCTTAATGCCGGAGAATTCTGGAACACGGGGATGTGAGCTGAGGCCTGAGGCAGGATCTTCTGGAGGAAGCAGTCCTGGCTTTGACCTGAGTACTGGGGGCTGGGGGCAGTGGGGAGCGAGAAAATGAGTGTTCTTCTCCAACAGTAGAAAGTGGGGCATCCTGGTGCTCTGGCCTCCTGACCAGTACAGGTCCAGAAAGAAGGAGAAGCCGATCTTTGACCCCAGAAGCTGACCCCACTCTGAAATACCCACCCTTCTCCCCATGAAAGAAGGGGCCCACAGAACTCATTTGTGATTTGGGTTCTAGCATTCTGATGCCAGTACCTTCACTGTGCTGTGTGGGCCTCATCCTTTCCCAGAATCTTCCCTTCTGCTCATTCTTCCTATGCACAAATAATGCACGTTGACCCTGGGATAAACTGCACTGTTATGAGAGGCTTTATAACTCGCTTGAGACTACATAAGGAGTCGGTGCAGATGGATCTCTTTTTTTCTTTTAAATATTTTATTGTTTATGCTATTTCAGTTGTCCCAATTTTTCCTTGTTTTCCCATCCATCCAGCACCACCACCCCCCCAGTCTCGCAGTCAGCCCCACACCAGCGGTTCACTGCATATGCCTTTCTTGCTCACCATCTACACCATTCATTCCCTTGAACTAGACCCAACCAGGTCTATGGGGACTTGGCATCTGATCTGCAAGGATGGTGAATAACCAGTGGATGTAGGGTTCTGATGAACTGTGTCATGGATCGAATATCCAAGCTCTGGATGTTTTTCCTGCTTAGAACTCTGTGGAAGGCAGCAGCTAAGGACACAATCCTACTCCACTTCCCTGGGGCCACACAAGGGAGATCAGGGTGGCTGTTGTCCTGGCAGTTCCTTGGGCTTTTGGAGTTCTGACTATCACTCCAGGCTGTTGTTTAGGCACTTCTCTTTCCCGTTCTGTATTCCAGAGTATATTTTGGAGCCTCCACCCTGCAGAGTGGCCGTTGAAAACTGCACTACATTCTGTACGCTTCAGGAAGATTGCCCGAAAGAACTTCAGTGCTGTTCTGCCTTCTGTGGGATAATCTGCACGTTAAACCAAAAGGTGGCCCATAAAAAGTAAGGGGCTTCTCATGCCCAGTCCTGCCCCTGGTGCTGCTGGTGGGAGCTCCACAGGAGTGTCCCACCAGCCACTACAATGGATCTCTTTCTCCTTCTCTTTACCAAGAAAATCTCCATGAACGTCGTGATTAAGAGCCTTCCTGCACTCCTGACCTCCAGAACCCTTCTCTCCTCGTCCTCACATCTGCGAATCTCTGAGTCTGCCTCTCTGAATACTGTCACAAAGCCCTGCGTCTGCAGACCCTGTCCTGACCCTTTACCCTGGGGCCCAGGACACTATATCTGGGGCCAAAAGTGTCACCAGCATCTGAAAACAAAACTGTACTATTTCTGCTCTTCCGTCTCTTGCCAAACACCATCCTTTGCCCCACCCCCTGCCAGTGCTCCTAGGCTCTGGAGGTCCTCCAGCCCAAAGGAGGCTTCGGTTCATCACCAGGGGCATTAACCACAGTCTGCTGAATGGAGAGCACTCCCAGAGCTGGGAAAGGGCAATAGAGTGCTGATGAGACATCTCGTTTCCAATCCTGTCTTGCATCCGTTTTTCTAGGACCTTGAGCAAGACAATGCCCTGTATTTACCCTTCCTTTTCTCATGCATCAAATGAGGGCTCTTTTTTCCAAGCCTGCAAGATCGTAAGTCCCAAATGAGGTCTCAAAAGGCCCACAAGGCAGGAGGCTCAATCCTAAAATGTCTTGTTCTCTGCTGTGTTCCTTGCCCTGAGCACAATACCCTACGTATGAGACAAGGGACAGAGCAATGGGAAAAAAGGTACAGGAGAGTGAAGTCTGGGCCCAGAGCCAAATACCCAGACTTGAATCCTAGCTCTACCACTTTTGAGCTGAGTGACCTCAGACATTCTATTCATTTCTCTCTCAGCATCAACTTTCTCATCTTTAATACTAGAACAATAATAATGAGATTAAAATAGATCATTCATGCAAGCTCTACATAATAATTACTCAGTAAATTTTAGCAATTAGGCAACCATTTCTCTCTCAACAGACTGCTGCCCCTTGCAGTGAAACCCCATGTCTTTCAAGGCTCCGCAATCAGAGGCAGGAGCCTAAGTATGTCTCTGTTGTCACCGGGTTCTTTGAGGTTCTACTTTCCCCATGGCAGGACAGCTTAGCTTCCTGGTCTAGTTTTAAAGATGCAAGTAATAGAAAATAAAAAGTTGTATCTCTAAGGATCAAGTTTCACCGGAAAATATCTGAAACGACTTTTCTTCTACAGAAACAAACACAGACAGGGAAAGAGGAAAAAAATGACAAATGAACCATGCGTCCAAAGGTGTTTTGTAAGCAGCGGGGTTTGGCCTGGATTTCCTGGTGTGTTGTCTCAGTTTCCCTCCTCCGCCTTCTCTAAAAGCTAACCTTGTAGTCCCATAAGGTCAGCATAGCCTTGTCATCCAGATGGGATCCCTCCTCCGTTAGCCTTCTCCTGGGACTACGTTCTTACTCCCTGGGGCAGGATGTGGTCCGGGATGAGTTACGCCACATAGGGCAGGCAGAATCGTGGCCCAGGGGGAACACAGGGCACTCAGGTCTGAGCCTGTGCCCGGGAACAGGCACTACCAGCCCGTTCGGGTTGCTAGTACCCTGAGCAGGAAGTCAAGCTGAGCTCTTCACACTCTGTGTGGCCTTGGTCACTTCACGCTCCATCTCCAAACCATCAACTTCCTCATGTCAGTGACTAAGAGTACACTGTGCTTCAGGTTTCGTGAGAAAATACAAGGCCATGTGAAATGGAAGGAGCTTGTCATTGCAAAGATTCTACAAAGGTGAGAAGCCACCAGCAACTCACTCTTTCTGGGTTCCATGTTTTTCCTCTTTAAAAAAACAGGGGGATCGTCTCTATTACTCCTTTGTCCAGAGGACATTGGAGCCCTCTGCAATTCCACAACTCTGAAAAGGTACTAGTCATAAATTGACGGATGTTGTTTGAGACTTTATGGAGGGAAATGAAGAGCTTAGAGTCATTCGATAATCTTCCTGAAGTCACCAGCTCTTCCAAGTTAGGACAGTGGTGTTTTTGCTTAAACTGCCCTTTTATTAATACCATACAAAAGAGCTTGATAAATGACAGCCCGTGGATGCCAGTGGAGGAGAGGAAGTGCACGAGCACACTTTCACCCTTGCTTGGGTCCTGGTGAGTCAGCTGTGCTCACTCCCTCTGCGCCTTGTGCATAATTAACTGCTCAGGCTGCACACTGGCTACCAGCATTGTTACATAATCCATCTTCATGTCACCATGAAGATGCTGAGCTCATGGTGGAACCCAGGTATTACACCCAGGTGAAAGGAGAACCAGGCTGGTGCTACTATGTAGGATATTTTTATTGCAGTTTCAGATTTACATGGTTGTAGGTACAGAAGCCTTAGTAAGCTCCATCTCAATGCATTGAGACAGGACTTCACCTTGGCTGGGCAGAAAATCATTCCCATAAACTTGAATGTGTCTTCTATGGAACCACCACCCCTATCCCATTATCTTCAGGAAGTGTACCCTAATGCATCGCATTGACTGCCACATCTGTTAGGTCCACGTGTCAGAGTGTTTGCTTTCCCTGATCCTGCAGACTGTTCTCTGCAGAATGGTTCCCCTCAACTGACCATGACCGCTCTGGAGACCCTGGTGTTGCTGGGAAGGTCAGGTGAGGAAGGAGATGGCAGTGCCAGTGAGGGCCCGAGAGAAATGTTGATCCTGATTCCCAGAAAATGCAACTCTGAGCCTCCTGTGGTGACCTGGTATAGACAGAGAACAGACAGCCCAAGTCGACCTTGTCACAGTCTTCCATGCACCTGGGCTCTGACAGGTGTCATCATTTTTTTTTAATTGTGAGCACTTTAGCCATAACATGCTTCATCTCATTCAGTCCTCACAGCAACCATAATGCCCATTTTACAGACTAGGAAACTGAGGATCATAGAGTTAAAGTAATATGCTCAGCAGTAGCCAACTGCATGATGATGGAGCTGGAATAGAAACCCAATGCTTGAAATGTCTTCTTTCCAAGGAATCGCCACCTTGGGTGACTCAGTTCCCTTCCGCTGAGTGCACTTTCAGTTTCCTAGTTCTCCTGAATTTCCCACAGATGCTCTTTTCCTCGCTTCCAACTCAGGCCTCCTAACTCCTCATTTCCTTTCACACTTGGAAACTTGCCTCACTAAACGTGGTCTCTCTCCAAGACTACACACGCTCCCCCTCTATACTCTGACTTTAGCTCTTCTCTCTGCCCAGAATGTCTTCCTCCCACCTTCCCGATGAGCTCCCACTCATGCTTCAAGTCTCATGTTAAATGAAAATCTCCACGGAGGCTTCACCAATTTACACCAGAGGAAATGGGTCATTCTCTTTGTCCCTGCACTGCACTGTAATTGTTTAACTTAGTATTTTTTCTCTGTCTAGAATATGTCTCATAAAAACAAGAACTGTGTCTGACTTTTTTGCCACAGAATGCTAGAACAAAACACCACACCTTGCACATACTGAGACTACAATTCTGACTTTTCAAATGGGATGCAAAGGAGGCTGGCAGGGAGTAGACTAATCCTAGCATTCGCTGAATTGTTCCCACAAAGAAAATCTTCACTGCGTAGTCCAGAACCCCTCAGTCATTCACTGCCTGCGTCACTTTTGCCTGCTGGACTCAGCCTTTACACATTTTTCTTAAAGGCTAAGTTATATTTGCTTTTGAAAACTGAGTATATGCTGAAAAACGAACAAAAGAGAAGCTTGGAAGTATCTGTTCACAAAGGGTCCTGGCTACTCTGGGGCTCAGTCCAGCTCTGCCTACCCTGGCCTGGTGATGCTGGGTGTCTCCAACTCCTCATCTCTTTGTCTGTAAATGAAGCCAAATAACACCTTCTCTCAGGTGTGTCATGAGATGAAATGAGATGATACAGGCAAAGCCTATACCCCATGGCCTGGCAAGAATCTAAGGAGAATGTTATTATTATTATTTGCATCCCCTCAATCCTTCCTTTATCCAAAATTCTTGTTTTATAAAGAAATCTAAGTGTATGTTTCACCTTAAACTCACGTTTTAAAAATTTCTCTAGGTTCCATATAAATTAGCTCCCAAATAAGACAAGCACTGTGTCTCTGATCTGAAATATCTTCTAAGACAGAAGATAGTTATGGAAAGTACTCCATCCCTGAAAGATAATGTGATTAAACCATGTGATGAAGGGCCAGCTAATTGAACAATGATCTCGATTCCTCTACTAAACTTCCAGCAACTATAGAAGATATTGTTTCTCTCTGTAAATCCCTTGAGAACGTTACCAGCTTGGAAATTTGTGGGGTTTTAGTCCACAATTCCACTTTCCCCCAATCACAACCCCTCCAAATGAACTTCTCCCAAAATAAATGTATCACAAATCTGTGTCTCATTCCTCTCTTCTGTGATACCATTCTAATCTGGCTGATCCTTGATGACCTCTGGCCCAGACCTGGAAGCATTTTTCAGAAAACTCTGTAGCTCCTTGACCACCATGAGCTGCTTCAACCATGTGGTTCAAGTTCACCCAGTGAGCCAGGCCTCTCACATTAACAATGGCTGTCCCTTGGACTCTTTCTGTAGAGCCACAAAGCCTAATCTCTCCTCATACAACTCTAATCTGCTCTGCCTTCCCCCAGTTGGAGCCCAGGGTAAGTGGCTGCAAAGGAGAGTTTGTGCATTATCCCTTTAAGAGGGCACCTGTATCTCTAACACACTGCTGTCTCTTCTTGGCAGACAGAATTCCCACTGATTTGCACAGCCAGATGTTATGTGGGCACCTCTTTCCCACTCTGGTGCTCTGGGATGGGGAGTCTGGCTTAGTGTTGATATCCTCCTCTGTTCAAGGGGAACCTTTGTGGCTGAGATTTCCCTCCAGACTCTCGCTGCCCTGGGATTGGGGCCAGCCCTTTTCATGGCTCCGCCCTTCCTTCCTGTCTCTCTGAGTCTTCTGTAAATTCTTAGTTATAAGACTTCTCTTCAGCTAGTCATCAGTTGTTTGGGTTGAATGCTCTATATTTTAGTTGTAATTCCAGTTTTGTTCTGGGAGAAGGCGAAGGTAGCTTCCAACTACTCCGCTGCCATCTTGGATCCTCTGTATCAATTGTCAAAGCCTGTACTTTAACTTTTTACTCTGGGTACAATATGATTATAGTATGAAAGGAGCCTGAGGCAGAAACAGGCAGTGAAGGGACTTGGGAAATGCAGAGCCCCTATTTCATAGGCACCCCACAATATGGGCTTTCCACTTGAAGGAATTGGGAATGTTACAAGAATGGGCCCCTGTTTGGAGGGATTAGGAGGGTGTTAGGCTGCAGGGCCCATACGCATCACACCAACAGAAAACCATTACCAAAAGATATACTACTAATGAAATATGATGTAGACAAAGATGTTTATTGATATTACTTCTGAATGTAAAATAGGTGAATCAAATTTAATATTAAAAAAATAGGAGACTAGTTATGTAAATTATGGAACAAACAAACAACACTAACCAGTTGACACATTGCTGGCTGAAAGCAAAGGGAATGTGGATGAATAACTGAAGAATAAACCAATATCAGCCACAACCTTCCAACCAGAAAAGAGGAACGTATTACTCTCTTCATTGTATCATGGATGTTTGCAAATATAAGTGCCATTAATATTGTATTGTGTGTGTGTTCATTTTAGTTCTTTTTCATCTCTCATGTTCTCTTTTATGTTATATGATATGTGTAGGTAATGTTTTAAAGTAGAATTTATTGTATGGGTACTGTAGTCAGAATTGTTGAGTAACAATCCCCTGACAATAAAATCTCAGTAGCAAGCAACAATAAAAATTTATTTTCTGTCATGGCTGGTGTGGCTCAGTGGATGGAGCACTAGCCTGAGGACTAGAGAGTTCACCCGTACGATTCCCAGTCAGGGCACATGCCTGGGTTGCAGGCCAGGTTCCCCAGGCAGGAGCGTGCAAGAGACAACCGATCAATTGATGTTTCTCTTCCTCACCATCTCCCTCCTTTCCCATCTCTCTAAAAATAAATAAATAAAGTCCTTTTTAAAAAGATTTCTTTTCTTCTCATACATCAGCAGGAAAATGCATGTTCCAACAATCCAAACTGAGTTTGACTGAGTTTGGATCTGGGCTGAGGGTAAGCTCCACTTTTGGTCCTCGTATCTCTCGTCCATCCTTCTCCAACGAGTAGCTTCTAAAAAATCACTCTTCTCAGGGCAAAATGCAGAGATCAAAGAAGGAAATCTGATCTTGTAAGCACAATTCAAGTCTGATAGTAGCTTTGACCAAAGCAAGTAACAGAACCAAGGCTGAAGTCAAAGGACCAGGAAATACAGAGGAAGCACAGCCTGTCCACAGGGAGGCCATCGGAAGAATGTAGATGTATAATAATATTGCTTTGATAAGGTTTACAAGAAAGAAACTAACTTAAATACTACAAAAGCATAATGCTTCTAGTGCACTCCTTGTTTGCCTTTCAAGAAAGGGAAATGTCCCTTCCAAATGACTTAAAATTTGAGGAAACTATTATATCATGAACAGTGTTTGTGAGGGCAAGATGGAGAGAACTTAGGAAGATGGAAGCAGGAGGACAAGGAAGAAGGGTGGACGTCTCATATCCCATTGTTCAAATAACAGGAAAGAAGGAGAACGCTAAAAAGGTCTCCTCTGTGGTGATGTGGGTAAATGTCAAATATAGGAAAGAAACCAGAGTCTGAAAAGGCAAAACTAAGGGAAAAGGAAGTGCGGTGAAATCGAAAAGTCCAGTTCTGTCCCGATCAGTTTGGTGGGCCTGGCACAGCATTTGATGCAGAAGCAACAGGGTACACACTTCCTGTGCCCTCAGATCTCTCATCACATGGTGTTGTATTGCAATGGGCAGAACTCCACGCATAGCAGGTATTCACAACAGAAGCCTGTCCTAGAATGTCGCCTGCATTCTTTGGTATCCCAGCTTTCAAAACCCAGCTGGGAACTCTTTTGCTGAAAGAAAGATTGTATGTTAGAAGCAGTGGCTGGGGCAGCTGCTGGGATTCCATGAAGTTCTGATACAGCATTAGCTTCACAGGGGTCCCCTTCCAGGCAGACGCTTCCTGACTCAAGTGAATTTGTCTGTACCACTGGCTTGTCCATTCCCATCACCAGTTGGTATCAGTTTATCAACCTCTGATGAAACAAAGCACCTAGTTACTCCCCTGAACCACTTTCCAGAAAACTGCCTACTCAGTAGAGTCAGAGATAGGTCCTAACTTCCATCAGTCTTTCCTCACCATTTAGGTGCTCCCTCCTGAACTAAGAATTGTTCCAAACCTTAGCCGAAACAATCAACTTAGGTGGTTTAAGGGGGTCAATGGGAAAGTCAACATTTCAAAAATCTCACCACAAAACAGAACCAAGATGTCCTAAGTTCCTAGGTAACGTAGGGTAGTGAGCTCAAAGCTTGTTTCCACTACCTAATATATGTGTGACCTTGTACGTATAACATAACCTCAGCCTCTGTTTCTTCATCTGTAAATGATGGTAACAACTGCATTTAACCCACGGGGTGCTTCAGTGATTTAGTATGTATGTTGCTTAAAATGGTGCCTCGCAGGAACTACTATCAGGGTTAGTTACTGTCGTTCATATATTGTGTTTATCACATTCTTTCTGTTGTACCAGGGTCGGTCTCTTCCTGTTTGTAGAAGGTTGAAGAGAGGAAAGAAAGCAATTCTTTTTTAAGTCGTTTTTGTTCTGATGGTTCTACCCTCCGTGGTTAACCATACACAGAGGCTCAGGCCCTTTGGTTTCTTTGGTTTCTACATGAACATGGGACTCACTATCAGGTTTCTAATCAGCCTGGGACCTTCAACTTCATGGCTGGGTACCCAGGCATTCACCGTTCAACTCAACACCTGGTAATGCCCAGTCCTGGCCCTGGGGGTAAATGGGCTCAGCTCCCTCCAGTATCCAGCACAAGCTATAACATCGGTTGATATCAAGACTCTCCTACCTGCTGCTTGCTGTACCATGAAGCCTGCTGAGCTGAGATTCCTTCTAGGGCTCCTCATCTTCTTCTTGCAGACTATGCCATTATTGGGTGGTGTTGATCGACTTTCTGGAAGGATATGTGCAGATCTCAAAGGTATGAACTTGAAGCAGAATATAAATTCAAAGACCAATTATGAACGAGGGAGAAAGTGTTGGGGGAAAACGTTGGGTCGGGGAGTTCCTCCTACTGGGTCAATACCCACAGGCTCTTAGGCCTTTGGCTTGGGACATTACGTTCTCTAGGGGTCTTGTAGATGTCTGATGAGAAAAAAACACAGTGGAATACAAATAAGTCCTTTCCAATGGGGCTCTCTTTCGTAGGGTTTCCAAAGACTAGGAGTACTTTGAACTAGGGGGTTCATGATACATTTCAAAGACCCCAGACCAATCTAGAGTACCTACTGAGAGGAGAGGAAAAGTGGCTGACACTGAAAACAACTGAGGCATTTTCAATATCTGGGCCATGGGGACAGAGAGAACACTTGGACACGTGGTCCCTGTTGAGAGGGGCACACTGTGTGGATATGAGATCATGTGTATGGACTCAGTGCTTCCAGAACACAGGAGGTGGCACAGTCTACCCTGGGTCAGAGGCCCTAAATTTGGACCCCACCACTTAGCAAATGTGTGTCCTTGGTTGAGTCACTCAGTCACTTACTACTTCTCTTCAGTCTTAGTTTCCCCGGTGTAAAATGTAGATCAGGAAAAATGCCTGCTTCAGAGGGCATTCATGAGCAGTAAGACTATGTGTGTAACTATGCCTGAATAGCTACTTTTACCAGCCAGTGAATTCCAGACTGAATAAGACAAACAGCAATCTGGGAGTTGCCGGTGCAACCCTGTAGTTGTGACGCTTATCAGTAAAAACAGAAGGTTTGCTCCCGGGAAGGCAACGGAGGGAAAGATGACAGGGTATGAAAGCAAGAGTATCACCCTCACGGTTGCCCATCTTGCTCTGCATCCTGCTTTGAGGCACCGTCACCTGAAATTTGGGGTGCAGAGAGTAGAGTGAGTGTGTGAAAACTGGAGAGTGACCATTCTGAACTGTATGTCCTATGAGGGCAGTTAAGAGGAGAGAAAGTTCTGGCCAGGTGACTCAGTTGATTGGAGCATCATTCCATACACCAAAAGGTTTGGGGTTTGATCCCCAGTCAGGACACATAACTAGGATGCAGGTTCGATCCTCAGTCAGGGTGCTTCTGGGAAGCAACCAGTCAGTGTTTCTCTCTCACATCAATGTCTCTCTCTCTCCCCCTTCCTCTCTCTCTAAAATCAGTAAACATACATTTCTTAATTTTTTAGAAGAGGAGAGAGAGATAAAGGTACAGAGAAGCAGGAGACTGCTTTCATAAAAATAAATAAAATGAAACGGGAACCTTATTACTTTGTACAAGTTTCTGGCAGAACCACCTTTTCACTGCTTACTATTTCTCCAAGTCACTGACAGAATCTGGAGTTGTAATCAGCTTCCATGGCCAAGGGTAACCTTGCCAAGTAATCCTAATTCTAAGAGAAAACAAGGCGCCCTTCAGTGACTTTGAATGGGGGACTGTTTCCAGGCTCCTGGGAGGACTTTGTAAGGGCCCCTGAAAACAAGAGCTCTGACCGAGTCCTGACAAATTCCCTCGAACTGAATGGGGACCTCTCATGCAGATGCCTGCAAAATGGACCTGGACACGGGCAGCTGCTATGAAGTCCACTTAAGATATTTCTACAACAAAACATCCAGACGGTGCCAGAGTTTTGTCTTCAGTGGCTGCAATGGCAACCTTAACAACTACAAGCTTAAAATAGAATGTCAAATAGAATGTGAAGAAGCATACATCATACCGTAAGGAGTCCAACCTTGCCCTTGGGCCTTGGGGAGAGGAAAAGGAGAGGCTCAGGGACCCCAAGAGAAAGCACAGTTTGGGAGCAGGAGGAGGGTGAATTGTCTTAATCAAAAGGTTTAACAGTTGGGTTGGATCTCAGAATTGTCTGTCATTTTGCAGTTAGGAAATCAAAAGACCAGAGAGAGAATAATAGCCACAATTTACTGGATAATTAACATGTGCCAGACACTGCATTAAACAATTTACATACATTGGTAAAAATTAACCTGAAAAGTATTATAAGATGGATGTGTATTATTATTATTTTCATATGGCAGATGAGGAAACCAAGCCCAGTGGAGATATCTCCCTGGCCCAGGTCACAGTATTAAATAGCATAAGAAGGATTCTCATCAGATCTGATGGTTACCCAGGACTTGACCATCTTCCACACATAAGATCACCCAGCCCTTATCGTTGTACTTCCAACTCAGGGACTCTCCATGGCAACGTGAAGCTTTATACAGCCCAGCTAGCTCCCAGCCTACATCTGACTGCTCCCCAGTCATAGGCTCTAGAAGAAGGCCCATAGAGGCCAAGAGGGCATCATATGGATGATTCCCAGGACAAGGAAATAGAGAGTGACCTTCGCAATAACTCAAAAGCAGGAATTTCGCTTTATTAGTAGAATACTCCTAGTGGATCTTTGCAGTGCCTGGCACCTAGTCGGCAATGACCGTGGTTTGAGAAAATGAAAGAGTGAGAGAGAAATAGAAGGAGCAGGAGGGGCATTGGAAGAGATGGCATCCTCTGGGTTTCCCCTGAGATAAAAATGGCAAATTAATCCAGGGGCATTTTCCAAAACCTATAAGTCAGATCTGCTGTGCTTTGTTTTGATTTTGTGGTTTTGTGTAAACAGGGGCCATCTAAGGCCAGCCAACCCGTAGCGGAATACAAAGTCGGATTCGGATGTTGACTGATCCACCACCTGAAGACAGACATAAGAAAATTCAGACAAATTTTATGATCTCGGTAATATTTCCTCGAAACTCCCATCTGTTGGTGATTTTCTTGGCTTTAGTTTGGTCTTTCCTGAGAAATAACTGTATGAGCATTAAAATGAAATCATCTTTGCATCAGCTTTCCTTCTCTGACTGCCCTTCCCCCAGCCTGGTCTGGGGCTGGAGCATCAGCTGGTCCAGTCTGTGAGCTCCCCTCTCCCTCCTGACCCAGTCCTCACGCCTGCACGCAGTGTTTACACTTTCAGGGGTGACAAGCCAAATACCTATCGGGCTGTGTCACCTCCTCTCTCATGTTGAGCCCATTAATGAAACCGAAGGACCACACCTGCTCTCCTTGTTGTCCTTCAAATTAAATTGAGCGATGAACCTCACACTCACATAAAATGTCCCCGCACTCAAAACAATTTTTTCTTCGTGACATTTCCTGATTCATTTCTACCACGCCAGGAGCCCCAATTAAGTTAACTAGACCCCTGACTTGATCCCAAACTTGGATGGTTTTTAGTACTGCAGTCGCTGAACTTTGACTTGGCTATTCTCAGTGCTTCTGGGAAAAGGACCCTCAACTTTAGTCCAGCGACTGTGTTAGCTCCAAGACCATGGTCATCCAAATGCTGGTTACCAAGTCTTCCGAATAGAATGCTGCAACATTCAGCATGATCTTCCCGGCTACATGATCGTCAATTTGACCATTTTATCTCTGAATTTTTTCATGCATCCCTTCCCTGCATCCCTTCTCTGTTAATCTCATTGACAAAATCCAATCTGTCAACTGTGAATCATCAGAGGCATTGTAAACCAGTGAGTCCTAAAACTAGACACACAAGTCTGGTCTCTGTTCAGTCTTAAGAAAAACAGCCCAGGCTGGTGAGGCTCAGTTGGTTGGAGCATTGTCCTGTAAACCTAAAGGTCACGGGTTTGATTCCTAGTCAGGGCACATGACTGGGTTGTGGGTTTTGTCCAAGTTGGGACACGTGCAAGAGGCCACCCATCAATGTTTCTCTCCCTCTCTCTCCCTTCCTTCCCCTCTCTCTAAAATCAATAACATATCCTCAAGCCCTGGCTGGTGTAGCTCAGTGGATTGAGTGCTGGCCTGTGAACCAGATATCTTGGTTCGATTTCCAGTCAGGGCACATGCCTGGGTTGCAGGCCAGTTCTTGGCAGGGGACACATGAGAGGCAACCATACATTAATATTTCTCTCCCTCTCTCCTTCCCTTCCCCTCTAAAGATAAATAAAATCTTTTAAAAAATAACATATCCTCAAATGAGGATTTAAAAAAAGAATAAGAAAAACAATCTTCTAAATTAGTACAATTTTCTGCAAAAAAAATCTGACTATTTCAAGACCAGACCCTCAACCCAGACAGAGTTTGCTATGAACAAGTGAAGCCCTAATTCTGGCACATTCCAACTTTGGTGAAGACTCTGGAATTACAAATCACTGCTCAATCCAATCAGCTACAAAAAACATGTTACTTACCCTGAAATAATAGGGACTAGGCTAATCTGACTGATCAACATAAATGGAAGTTCTGAGATTTTCCTTTTGTGAGTCATGAAACTGGTGTCCCAGAAGTGGACAGTCTTCCAGGAACAAAACAACCCATTTCCATACAGCCATTTTGCTCCCTCTTCCAGCCACCTCCAAGAAGAGCCAAAGTAAAAAAACAAAAAAGGAAAAAGAAAAAATCCTCTGAGGAAGGAGGGCTGTTACATATGGGTGGGAAGAGGAAATTGGTGCCCAAAACAGAGGACTGGGCACCCAAGTTGGGAGGATGAGTTGTGTTGAGAGCTTTCGAGTTGTGTTATTCTCCCCACCACAAAGGCCTATCTGTCGCTGTCTACTCCTCCCCTGTCAAAGCAGTGACAGCCGCAGGATACCACCAGGGTGACTGAGAGAACAGAATGGAGGTTCCAGAGCCCGGCGAGGATAAGAAGTGTGCAAACACGGGCACAGCTGGACTGGCCAGACAGCTTATGGTTTTTCTTCGTCCTATACACACTGAGAGATAGACGACTGAACCGAAGAGAACAAATTTCCATAGAAAACACATCCAAGCCGGAAATATAGATATGTTTTCTGCGTAGGAAGGAAAGAAAGGGGAATGGTGTTGTTTAGGAAGCAGCAAATGGGTGTAAATAAGCTCAGTGTGGAGTCTATAACTGGAATTTCCCAACACACTTTATTTTTTTAATTTCATCTTTATTGTATTTTTTCCATTACTGTTTAGTTGCCATATATCCCCCTTCCCACAGCAATCACCACATTGTTGTCCGTGTCCATGAGTTCCTTTTTCTTTTTGCTCAATCCCTCCACCCCCTAAACACTTCATTCCACTAGCTCTCCATCTATGAGTCTGTTCCCATTTCCTTGTTAGTTCAGTTTGTTCATTAGACTCCACGTGAGTGAAATCATGTGGTATTTTTCGTTCTCTGATTGGCTTATTTCACTCAGCATGATATACTCCATACTGTCAGGAAGGGTAAAATTTTCTTTTTCATGGCCAAGTAGTGTTCCATTGTGTAGATATCCCATAGTTGTTTTATCCACTCATCTATTGATGGACACTCAGGCTGCTCCCATATCTTGGCAGTTGTAAATAATGCTGCAATGAATGTAGGGGTGTTCATGTTCTTTCAAATTAGTGTTTTGGGTTCCTTTGGATATATCCCCAGAAGTGGGATCTCTGGGTCAAAAGGCAGATCCATTTTTAATGTTTTGCGGTGTCTCCATACTGCTTTCCACTGTGGCTGCACCAGTCTGCATTCCCACCGATAGCGCAGAGTTCCCCTTTCTCCACATCCTCGCCAGCACTTGTTGTTTGTTGATTTATTGATGATGGCCATTCTGACAGGTGTGACCTGGTATCTCATTGCGGTTTTAATTTGCATCTTTCTGATGATTAGTGAGATTGAGCATCTTTCCATATGTCTATGGATCATCTGTATGTCCTCCTTGGAGAAGTGTCTATTCAGGTCCTCTGCCCATTTTTCAATTGGGTCGTTTGTTTTTTTGGTGTTGAGTTTTATAAGTACTTTATAAATTTGAGATATTAACTCGTTATCAGATGTATCAGTGAATATGTTCTCCCATTCTGTGTGGTTGTCTTTTAATTTTTTTGATGATTTCCTGTGCTGCCCACACCCTCTTTAAATCAACCAAGTGAAGCACAAGTTAAGCGATTCAGGCTTTGGGCCCTCTCTGCATTGCCTCCTCCCACTCCCATCCATCCACCACATACACAATCCAAGGAAAAGCAGCTCATATATCCATGGACAAATGATTGCAAGCAAAATGTACCGTAAAAATGTTAACAAAGAGAAACAACATGCTAAGTAACTGATATGAAGTAACCCAGAATTTATTAAAGAGATAAATGAATAGGCATAATATTCTCAACTAAATTAGAGTGGATTTTGGTATGTAAAAATGGGAGCCTATATTAACACAGAAGAGCCAAAAAATACAGGGTTTGGAAAATAGAATAGGTTACCTAAGTCACACAGTAGCTGAAGTAAATATAAAGGATACAGCCAAAGTATGAATTAGTGGTGGCAGAAGAGGAAGTTGAGAAGCCCTCAGAAAACATCAGGAAAGAATTAAACATTTTGAAATATAAGAATATTTATTCTTATTCTTAAGAATAATAATGGGGAGGGAGATGCTATTACCAGATGGAAGAAATCATGCTGAGCCCACAAAACCAACAATATTCACTACATTTTACCCCTTGTCTCTTTAACTTGCTTTCCATTGTTAAACCTTTTAAAGGTTATTGATTAATATAGCCAAAAGCATTCACCCACAAGCCAAAAAGATGCAATTAAAAGTCCCACTTCCTCCCTCAACCAGCTTCAGGGCTGGGGTCTCACAGATGAAGTCCCTCCTCTGTTACCACTGACTGAATCCCACTGGTAAATGCTTCAACCAGCATATGAAATAGGCGGTTTCTACACCCACCAACCTATCTTACATACAACAGTAGGTAAAATTGGAAAGAGGGAATTTTGTTTAATTCCCCAACACAAGCAAGGAACAATAGGCAAGATATCTGTGCTACACCACATAAGGCTGTAGCTGGTTTTGATAACATCCCCCCACGTCCCTCTTTGGCCAGAACCTATGTTTAACTCATCTCTTTAGACATCGGGTGACCCAGATGAACAGTCTAGACAGAAGAAATATGATCTTATGGGGGACTCCTGGGTAGGTGTTAACCTTTCCATCTTTCAGGCTTTCTAACTTCCGTGTCGTGTTTTCTAACTTCTGTGAAAGCTGACCGATTAGGATGACGAATAACACATGCTCTGGGCCATCAGAGTCCCCTCCGTGAAGCATTAAGCATAGATACCCTACAGTTAGATTCACTCATTTCAGATGAAAGCATAATTTTTCTTTTTCTGCTTTTCCAGGAGAATTTCCACTGAGGCTGTAAGAGTGGATTAAGAAGTCTGTAACAACACAGTGGAAAGAGAGGCTCAACTAGGAGTGAACTGTACATGCAATGAAATTGCCTGGCCCGCTGCAAACTGCTTGTTCTGTTAATGCTCCACCACTGGGCACACGGGTGCCTCGAGCATTTCTCAAGAACCTTCCATCATGAGTTTACTACCAGACGGAGCAGAAAAGGCCATAGCAAATAAATAAATAAATAAATGAAGGAAAGTTAATGACCCTCAGAGTTTCCCACCTCACATGTCTTTCATCTCAAGTTTTATGCTCTGTGCCTTCCACTGAAATAGAACAACTCACTTGCTCTGCCCCAGGGACATGGGGTGCAGGACGTTCTCCGCTGTATTTGTGCATGACGACAGAGACCCTTCGTGCAGAACATCAAGGTGCCCAGCATCCTGGGAGACATTCAGTCAACTCGTCGTAGCCTCAGTCCTCATCCATTCAGTTGTGCTCACTTCTGCTGATTCTTCTTGCTGGCAGCTGGGTTGGTTAGCAGGTAAAACAAGAAGGTAGACTCTGCTGGAACCATCAGAGCAAGGCACACCCAGACTCCTTTCCACCTGGCCTGACAAGGAGCGATGAACATCAGGAACAGAAACATTCACGGATAAACCAAACAGAAAATCCAGAAATGGGTCCGAGTGTAATTAAGAACATGATGAAGTTAGCATTTCAAATCAAAGCGAATTTTTATGTATTCTTTTTAAAATATATTTTATTGATTATGCCATTATAGTTGTTCTATTCCCCCCTTCATTCCCCTCCACCCTGCACACTTCCTCCCCCACCATTCCCCCCCTTTAGTTTATGACCACCTGTCTCAAGTTCTTTAGATTCTATATTTCCCATACTATTCTTGCCCCCCCCATCAATTTTCTATCTACTGTCTATGCTACTTATTTTCTGTACCTTCTCTCCCCTTCTCCTCCTCCTACTCCCCTGTTGCTAACCCTCCATGTGATCTTCATTTCTATGGCTCTGCTCCTGATCTAGCTGTCCTCTTAGTTTGCTTTTGTTTTAGGTGTGGTTGTTAATAACTGTGAGTTTGCTGTCCTTTCACTGTTCATCTTTTTTCATCTTCATTTTCTTAGATAAGTCCCTTTAACATTTCATATAATAAGGGCTTGGTGATGATGAACTCCTTGAATTTGACCTTATCTGAGAAGCACTTTATCTGCCCTTTCATTCTAAATGAAAGCTTTGCTGGATAGAGCAATTTTGGTTGTAGGTTTTTAGATTTCATGAGTTGGAATACTTCTTTCCAGCCCCTTCTTGCCTGTAAGGTGTCTTTTGAGAAATCTGCTGACAGTCTGATGGGAACTCCTTTGTAGGTAACTTTCTCGTTATCTCTTGCTGCTTCTAGGATTCTCTCCTTCATTTTAATCTTGGCTGATGTAATTATGATGTGTCTTGGTGTGTTCCTTCTTGGGTCCAACTTCTTTGGGACTCTCTGAGCTTCCTGGATTTCCTGGAAGTCTATTTCCTTTGCCAGTTGGGGAAGTTCTCCTTTATTATTTGTTTAAATAAATTTTCCACTCCTGGCTGTTCCTCTTCCCCTTCTGGTACCCCTATAATTTGGATGTTGGAACGTTTAAAGTTGTCCTGGAAGTTCCTAAGCCTCTCCTCATTTTTTTGAATTCTTGTGTCTTCCCTGTTTTCTGTTTTGTCATTTTTTTCCTTCCTTCTGGTCCACTCCCTTGATTTGAGTCCCAGTTTTCTTTCCATTACTATTGGTTTCCTGTGCATTTCCCTTCATTTCAATTAGGTTAGCCTTTATATGTTCCTCTAATTTGTGACTGTAATCAACTAGTTCTGTGAGCATCCTGATCACCAGTGTTTTGAACTGTGCATCTGATAGGTTGGCTATTTCTTGGTCACTTAGAGTTATTGGCTCTGGGGCTTTGAGTTCTTCTTGAGCCATAATGATTTGGTCTGTTCGCACCTGTTACATATGAAGAGCGGAGCCTTAGGTGTTCACCAGGGCGGGGCCACCCAGGTTGCTGGTTTGTGACGCTGTATGTGGGGGCAGGGTCAGAGAGGGACAATAGCAGTCCCCTCTACTGCTTCCCACTGCTGGGGCCTGCGTAGTCCATCTCACTGCTCACTCCTTCACTGGTTTATCTGCGCGCAAGTGTGTGACTGCGGTCAGCCCTCAATGGGTCCGCCTTCTGCTACTCCACACTTGGGATCTGCCCACGGCTGCTTGCGTGCCCAGGTCGTGCGCCCGGGTCGTCCGGTGGATCTTTTCTGCCCGACCCGGCTCTGCTGCTGGCTCTGCCACTGGCTCCGCCCTTGTTACCCATCTGGCTGAAAGGTTCATTGTTATCAGACTTCCGTATAGTTCAACTTTCTGTGCTTTAGCTGCGTTTTTGTTGCTAAAACTTTGTTGTTTTTAAACTTGGTTGCGCGAGAAGATACAGTGTTTCCACCTACACTTCCATCTTGGCAGAAGTAGCTTGATATATTCTTCAATAAATGATAATATAATTTGCTACTCATCTGCTATGATAGTCAGATTAGAACCTTTCCCCATATTATATACAAAAATAAAGTTTAAATATATGTAAAAACTTAGAAAGTGATAAGTGATGAACTTATAGAATAAAATGTAAGAAAACCACTTTGCTAATTTGGAGTGATGGGGTGCTTTCTAAGAAAGACAGTTAACTCAGAAGGCCCTGAATTTGTTCGTGTGTTTATGAATGACATATTTAATTATATAAATACATGTATATAATTATATAAATATTAAAAGTACTCAAAGAAACCACAACAGTATGAGAGGGCAAATAATACCCCAGAAGAAAACATTTGCAGCAAATGTTACTATGAAGACTCATAATTTATAAAGTATCTGGTAAGTCATTAAGGGAAAAAAATGATGTCTTAAGATAAAAATAACCGACATTTAAGAACAGGTAATTCACAAATTCAAAATGTCAATAACCATGCTAAAATATTCTGACCCCCCCATTGGTAGTCAGGAAAATGTAATTTTAAATGACAGCCTGCCATTTTTCACTCATTCGATTAAAAAACAAAAAGCAATCAGCATTGGCAAGGCAGGGATGAGGTGGGTAATATCTGCTAAATTTTAAAATTTTAGAAATTTTATAATTTATCATTCTAAATTTTATAATTTTGCCCAGGAGCCCACCTCTAAAAATTTACACCATAGAAATAATTGTACATAAAATTCATGTGCAACAATATTTGCTACAGCATTATTTGTAATTATCTATCAGAAAACAACCTAATGGACTTTTAATACAAAAGAAAGTTAAGTAGGTTATGATACATTGATATAATCCATGGTACTGTTTTAAAAGTTCAGCAATATGGTGTTAAGGATTGAGAGCAAGCCCCAGATCCATCTGCTTAGGATGATTTCAATGATGACTTTGTTATTTTTAAACGAAGATAGAAGTTCTCTTAATGCAGCCCACTTAGTGAATTAATGGCCCTTCCATCTCCTATGTAAAATATACTGACTGCATTGTTCCCACCTTGAGAAACATGGGTAGTGGAGGACTAAAACGTAATTTACCATCAAAAGGGCGATTCTGGCATCCAGAGAGGCAAAGAATACCGATACGTGGAGACAGGTCTCCGAGCTTATGGGGAAGACGATTGAAGAGTGAACAGAAGGATGGAGCAAAGCAACTCTTCCCTTTCTCTAATTCAATACAGAAAGGGATGGGAATACAGAGCTTTTTGTTTTTTCAGTAATTTAATTTTTTTTTCTAGACAAGTTTAAAAGACAGAAAATTTTCAACGGGATGGAAGTGACAGGTAGAATCATGTCCCCAGTAAAACCGGCATGTATTTAAATTTCATGCATGTTTATTAACAAATTCAGGCATCCTGCTATGTATTGAGTGAATTTGAGTAATTTCATCTTGTGGAGTTTTTTTAGTCTTTTACAAACTATTTTCTAGTAAATTTTTCATCTCCTCTATGTTTGAGTTCTATCCTTTTCACATTCCTATGATAGAAGATGTTTATTTCTTTTTTATTTGTCCATTAGAGTTGACATTTAATACTATTTTATTAAATATATTAGTGTACGGTGTACTGGCTAGACATTTGTAGAATTTATGACGTAATCCCCCCAACAAGCCTAGTACCCATCCGACATCAGACATAGTTGTTACAACAGCGTTGACCATATTCCCTGGGCGGTACTTCACAGCCCCATGACTACTCCATAACCGCCACTCTGCACTCCTTCATCCCTTCACCTTTTCACCCAGGCCCCCAACCTCCCTCCCCTTTGGTGACCCTCAGTTTGTGCTCTGTATCTAGGAGTCTGTTTCTGTTTGGGGAGGTGTTTATTTCTTCTCTATTTTTCATCCAAAATTTTGTCTATTCCTGCCAAACTCCTGTCTGTTTTAATGGTATTTTTACAATTCAAACTTTCATTTTTCTCTAGCAATTTTAGTGTTACTCTAATTCATTCATTTTCAATTACTAAGTTCATCAATCTCTAGTGTCTGCTTTCTCTATATTTATTTTGCTGGTGTTATTCCAGTTTCTGACGTTCAGGACTATGTTGATTTCCTTTCATATTTTTACATTTATACAGGGTGGGACAAAAGTCGGTTTACAATAGTGAGTACATAAAACATAGAGTAAGCTTGTATCGTTTATTAATTATTGTATTCATTTCCATACAATACGACCGTAAACCTACTTTTGCCCCACCCTGTATATTAAAGCATTGACAATAAGTTATTTACAACTGTTTATCATAAACGTATTGATATCCTGAGCCTTCGTAGATAATCATGATCCTTAGATCTAGAAGAGGGAGGGGGAGGCTGAGGTTCAGCAGTGGAGCTTTGCCAAACCATGACCTTGCAAGCTACGAGGCTGGGCACCCAAGCACAGTGTGTCCTGCTCCCTCGGTTGATTCCAGATGGAGCTCTGCTCATGCCTGGGCCCTGGGGAAATAAAATCAGAGACGCGGGTTCAACTCCTCCCAGGAGAAAGAGCTTGGCCCCCGGGATATAATTTCAGCTCAGTCTGGGGCTGCCCCACCTGCCACCTGCAACACCATGAAGCCAGAATTGACCCACTCTTTTATGTTGCTCCTCATCTTTTCCATGACCCTCCACACACTGGCAAGTTTCCTCTTCCCCAAAAAGCTCCGACAGGATTTGTGTGAAAGCGGACATCTTGGAGGTAAGGCCCAATCGGAAGGGCAGCCCCGGAGGAGGACAAGGTGAAGGCTGAGGAGGTCTAGGCAGCCAATGGGAAGGAGTCAAGTTCTGCTTGTATCTCAACCCGTATGGTTCTAAAGCATCTGACTCCAGGACTTACACTGAGTTCCGTCTATTATGGACTGGAAAAGCAGAAAGACAGAAAGTGGAACTGACTTAAGTCCTTACCAAGGGATTTCAATGGAAGAGGAATGGGGTTATAAAAATTAGATTGATGTCAGGAACATCCAGAAAATGTCTTTACTGGTATGTGCCTGTGTGTGTATTAGATGGGTTTCAGTTCTATTTAACTCGTAGATAGAGGACCATTGTATCACACCCCTCATTAGCGTGCTTAGGACATACATTCTACTTATTTGAATTAATCTGCTCAATTCAAATGATAATGGACATGTATGAAAGATTTAGGATAAACAAAGCAAACGCCCAGTTAAGGATAAGGGCTGTAGCTGGCCGTCAAGAAGACTGACATGAATCCTTTTTTTTTTTGTCTCCAATATGGTCATCATTGCTCCTGACCTAACTGCCTGCCCTTCATGGTCTCAGTCAGGCAAGGTGAGTCCCACTG